CATTTCTTTGCCCATGTGTCAAAATGGGGATGTGAAACTGCCCGCGCAAGAACCAAGGTTAGCCCTGTTGGCTTTGCATGGGGCATCCGTGGGTCGAATCTCCCTCAAAGCAAAGAGCTTCTGAAGATGCCCGGCTTGCCCGATTTTGAAGAGCAGAAGGAACCCTACCACAGGAAGAATTCCTATGTTCCAGGAAACACGTGAAGCGGGTTCATTGCACCAAACCTCCCAAGCCCATTTAGTAGACAGCAGCAGCTGTAGCCTCCCGAGCTTTTGGCAACGGTCCTTTCCGCACAATGGCCAAACAACCGCAGATCCAGACCACATGCGCTTTCTGCTGGTCGCTGCAGCTTAGGTTGGACATGTCACGCAGGCTGCCTGTAAATACGAGAGCCGCGCGGAAAAGAAGGCAATCTTTCACAAATGCTGCAAAATATTGCGCTCCGGTAGCTTTACGTCGGTTGATGCGCAACTCGCCGGATGGGACTGCTCTATTTCGGGGCACCAAAGGATTGATGCCACACGACCTTCCTGATATGAAGGAAAGGCACAGGCCTTGGCCGAAGCCGCTCAAATCCAGGGGGGGCCAGTTGAAGGAGGTGAAGTGTTTGTTTGACATTTATAATATGGTGTACATAGTACATACATATATACTTGTAAATATACATATTTATATGTGTAATATATATATATATGCAGTATATGCATACATACTGTGATCATTTATATTCATGCACATACACAGCTCTCGCGCACAGGGATTCCGCGAGACAGGGGGCCCCTGCCAACCTTTGGTATCAGCCCCCCAACATGAGCAGAAACAACTGACTCTCAAGCTCAAGACCATGTGGGGGTGTCTTTTCTTGAGGCCCCTCCACTTTCCGCGGGGTAGGAACTCAGCGAAACGCCTTGCTTTCGCGCGTTTCGAGTTCTCCGCCCAGGCACCACCTGCGTGGCACCGTTCAGGTTGATTTGCCCCGTGCCCGTGGTGAAGGTCGTGGACCCCGACCTCACCGGTTTCTTGGGAGTTTCAGGGGCCAAAGGATGAAGCGCAACCTGGCTGAACCAGGCGCATCAAAATGGAGGTGAACAAAAACCTGGGGGGGGGGGGGGGGGGTGGAAAAAGAGGCCCCCTTCATATATTGACCCGTTGAGCCGATGCTCAAACAGAAGCTGTCGTAATAAAGGTAGGGATTCTAAAACGCAGAGGTGGTACTAACAGGTTCATAAAGGTTTATACAATTTCTATCAATCCAACCAAATAGTGGGACCACCTACTATCACGGCCAATATGGGGGTTCGGGTGCCGCTCACTTCTGGCAAAACTGTTTGTATCCTGAAACCCATGGACTCTTCTTCCACCAAAATGTTCAAAATGAACTTAGGCTTACTTAGATGATTTCTCAAATTGGGTTGTAGAGCGACCCCCACTTGTGGCGGCTGCACGCCGCTTGACATGGAGCTGAGGGTCACAACCCATACCCCCCCCCCACCCTGCCCAAAAAAAAGAAGCGGAACTTCAACTCATCGCTTGGACTAAACCGGGACATTAATCTGCCAACCAAAGAGAACCACTTTTTGGTGAGAAGCGTCATCATTCTAATGGAAACCCAGCATGAACACCCCCTGTCTGATACACTGGGGGGAAGACCACAGTGGGGATCCGTACCGCTCTTGGGAATTTCCCCTTCCGGCAAGTTCGGCTTAACTCCCCTGGGATTCTCTCCCTGAGCAAAAGGTCTAACCTTTTGTAAGTCTAATGAAAAAACAACATTGGTTTCACACTAAAGTCCAGCCATGATTTGGGGTCAACACCAGATCCGGGCACAACAACTTCAGCGGCTGCCCCCCCCCCACCGAACCCAAGATGTTTGATCTGGCAAGCATTTAGCGTGAGCCACATATGTGCCACGGTCAAGAATCGTGGTCCCTTTACCGGAACCTTACAATGGTTGTCTGAATCCCCAGGGGCTCATGGCCAAGCCAATGAACCCCTGACCATGGCACAGGCGCCTCAACAGGTAAAATCAGACCCAATGAGACCCCCAGTATCTGTTTTTTCCCTCCTGTTTGAGCTGAGCTTCAGCTTCCCACTAATTGGTGGTTTGGATTGGTGGTTTGGTGGTTAAGGGGTTTTCCATTTACCCTCTACAAGCAGGGCTTCAAATCCTCAAACCACCAATCCAAACCACCAATTAGTGGGAAGCTGAAATTTTAACGTGGGCCATGGTCATATGTCGAGGCCCTGGCAGCTGGGTGTTGCCGTTGAAGGTAACCGTGCCAGTGCCCGACTGAAAGGTGCCGGAACTCGTGGCCTGAGATCGATGAAAAACCCAGGCCTCAGGCTCCCACTTTCTGATGCAAGCCCCCTTGAAGCGCGTGGGTAGGGGATCAACGGCTGTCACAAAAGTGAGCATTTTCCACCACGGATTCAAGTGGCCTGGGGAATCAACTTTGGCACAGGGGTGGCTTCATTTCCGCCATGGATCGAAACACCATTAAGTCTGGCGGCCTCTGGCGCTCCGACGAAAGCTACGGGATCGTGTCATCCCGTTTCGTTCATTGCATGTTTCGGCAATTACCATACTTCTTGAGCACAACAAAGCGGGGGAAGCCAAGCCCGTCGCGCAACGCGCCACCTGACCCGAGCTCTTGTGGCACAAGAGCTCGCCGGGACCAAGGGGAAAACATCTATGGGAGGTTCGGCACCCTCCCAAAGAAGTGAAGGGATCTGTTGAAAAGCTTGTTTATTCACGGGGGTCGCAACACTGAAATCGCGTTCCGTCCTCTTGTTCTGGGGCAAAACTACACACATCATCCACTTGGGCCGCTCGAATTTCACAATCCTTATTAGGAAACCACTACAAAGGGGACCTTGTGCGTAAGGTGGAGCCTGGATCACCAAACCAGTTTGACTACTTCCCCAAGTGAATGATCCCCGCACCCTGAACTAATCAATCAACCTTTTGCCTCACCATGGCTAAGCCACTATATCGCTTCAACCACCTTCTGGTGGCTTTTTTAGGGCGCCACGCGTTGCCTGTGCCGTTGCCATTTTTGGCCCCACCCTAGCTGCGGCTGGCGCGGCCACCATGTGCAAGTTCTTGCCCGTGGCCACCTCCACGTCCCCGTTCCTCGGCGTGGGGTCCGCAACCCACGCGGGTTCCCGCAGAAACTTAAGGAACGTATCACAAAGGGTCAGAAAGGGCCAAGGCCTTTGTGGTTTCCATGATAAACGCGGAACACCCTGACCCAAAGCCAACCAGAAATCCAACAAACTCCCGCAATTCCATGTTTCTAGCCTCCCCGCAAAAGTCAAACGTAAATTTAAATGGAAATCCAGGGGGCAAACCCAACCCAACCCTCCCACCCCAAATAGCATTCTCTGGGTGGGGATGCTACTATTCGGACCCTTGTCATCCAAAAAGGAGGGTCCCCACCCTGAACCCATCCAAAACCCACCCCCCGAAGAAAAAAAAAGGAAGAAAAGGAGAAAAAAAAGGAAAAACACACACACACACACGAATTGACCCCACAAAAGAAAGCCCTCCCCATCCCGCGCCCCCCAACCCTCCGCCGCGCGGCAGGGAGATGGCCCCGGTGCCCGTGCTGAAGGTGGACACAGACGCGCCGGTGACGTCGCCCTGTTGCCGCGAGAAGAGGTTCCTTTCTAATTTTATTTATGTAACAAAATAAAATGTGTTTTTGTGTTTCTTAATCTATCTATTCATTGTTTGCATATACATATATATATACACCGTGTATACATGTACATATATATATATATGCATATATATATATATTAATGTCTTTTATGTGTATGTGTATATATATATATATGTTATACTATATTGTGTGTTTTAAAGGTACCCTTTGTGGCTTTAAGGGAGACCAACAGGAAAATCACCATCTCTAGGGCCCCCTCGTTTGACATAGGGAACCACTTGGAAACCCTGCAAGTTAACGCAATGTGCCAAGTGTTTTGCGGTTGGTTCGTCTGCAAAACTCAGAGCGCTAAGCTACCTCAACTTTTGCCCCCCCCCCCCCAACCAACTCACCCAAAAAAGCAAGATGGGCGATTCTGGCCCATATCTCACTTCCTGAATAGATTGGCCCAAAAAGTTCAGGCTGATTATCCATTAAAGCGGTCTTCCCCAAAAGTACTAAGTCCAGGAACTCGGGGAGTGAGGTGTTCGGTGAACCTTCCCATGGAAAAAAAAAACTGCAATACAAGGAGCGACACAAAGCAAAACATGACTATCCCATAGACGCGACTGAATTTAGTTTCATACCCCACAATCCCATTCTAATATTTAGGCCCTCATAGCAACCGCAACCGCTGGGAGAGAGTTGCCACTTGGCCCGGGCCTGCGCGAAGTTGCCGTTCACGGTGGTGGTGGCGCCGCCTGATGGACACCCCTTCGAACAAACTTTGGCAGTGGCTCAGGGGGCAAGCACCCAAACCAGTAATCAAAATCTGGTGAAGCGGCGTACCCAAAGCATGTATAGAATCAACGCATCTTGCTGCACCTGCGTGGGTTGTCTTGTAAGGCAACGAAACAGTTGCTCATGAACCCACCCCCCCACCCCACCCACCCCACCCACCCCACCCACCCCACCCACCCCACCCACCCCACCCACCCCACCCACCCCACCCACCCCACCCACCCCACCCACCCCACCCACCCCACCCCACCTTCCCCCCACCCACCCTCCCACCCCTCCCCCCCAAGCCCCCAAGCCCCCCGCCCCAACCCGCGCCTCCAGAGGCCGTGCTACCCACCACCAGATTCCCATAGAGTGTACTGGCACCCCCAGCGCCCGCGGAGCCCACGGTGAAGGTCATCCTAAGCTCGGCGACCAAAGCAACAGATCCGTCGGTGAAGATATGGCCGTGGGTCAAAAATAGGTCCCCAACTGGACCAAAACCTGCGGTCTCCTAGTGGTTTAATTTGGACCCATACCCATTTGGGGGTCGATCAATAGTCCCCTTCGGGGAAGAGGGCCCCCGGCTTCGACCATGGGTAACTGTTCCCATGTTGTAATGGACATATCGAATCTTTTTGGTGGGTTTCCCCATGGTCCCATGTAAGGGACCTTTTGATCAACCCCCATGTGGCCGTGGGTCAAACATCGACTTTTTATAGGAGCCATTGTGGGGGTCCAAACTAAAGAGGGGATTCCTCTAGACACAAGGAAGCTTCATTCAGGGAAAGTTAGGCGGGGGGTTCCCAAGACAAGTAGGCTTGATTGGTACTTCTCAGAAGTGGGCCAAGCTGCTCTTGACTTGTCAAAGGTGCAACTTTGCAGTCGGGGGTCCCAAGGCTTCTATTTGCCCATTTGCCAATTTTTTGACAACTCGAGTGTGGCTTGCAAAGTCTGTGACTGCAAATAAAGAACTTGCGAGAAACTCGATTGTTTCATGGGAAAATGGTCACTTGAGGGTTGGTGCGTCCGCTTTGCACGATGGCCTAGACAACTGGTCATCTGATCAGTGAACAAAGCATATCGCAGGTGTTCATTAAATGCTTCGGACATGCCCACGCAGATTCAGAGAGCATGTCTTGGCGAATGGGAAGAGGAAACGGGAGAAAACATCAATAATGCCTGCCTAGGCTAAATACTAATGCACGGGCGTCGTTTTGCCTTAGACATTGGTGGCTCCCCTGCCTTCGCCGAGGATTTACAAACGCCCTGAAGCAAAACGCATGAATTACCCAGCCAAGGTGTTCCCCAGAACACCGGAGCTAGGCATGCCCTTAGGGTCTAGTTCAGTCTGGCAACACACTGCTGCTAGGATTTACATTAACCGTGGATAAGGTTTCAAAGATCATGGGCTTTGCCCTGTCTGTATTTCAGCTTGTCTTGGTACTTTGTGTGTTCCGATTTCTTCCCGCTCTCAGCACCATGCTGCTGGTTCCGTCTCAACTTGTAGACTGGTCTTGCAACAAAAAATATGACGCTCTTGGACCGACCAAGCTAAAATTGTTAACCACCACCCCTCCACGAAACATGTGTTTCACGGAGTCGATTCATGTCGATTCACACTTGGCCTCTGCATCTGCCGTCCTCTTTCTCCCCATTGACCATCGGGTCAAGACAGGCGACGTCAAAATTCGTGGCCCTTCCGCATGGTTGCAACCGCTGAGCTTCTTTGGGGGTCCGAGAGAGAGAAAAAAAAAAAGGAAAAAAACGTGGCCGAACTCTGTTCCGGACGTCTTCCTTCAAAATGGACCTTGGCCGCAAGTTGTTCCACGGATAGCTCAACTTATAGCTTTTGATCCAGAAAAACACCCTCAGGCCTTCCACCTTACCTTCCAAGGGGCTGAGCCAAATGGGATTTCCCACCCCTAACCAACAAACCACTAATTACACTCGACAGAAAAAAACAAACCAAAAAAGGATAACCCATCCTATAGCCACCCCGCCCCGCACGAAACGCCGAGGCTCGAGTCCGCAATGGCGGTATTGCCGTTCAGCGTCACTGCCCCCGTGCCCGTGGTGAAGGTGTTGGCCGACGAGACCTCAGCGAGTCGGAGCGGTCAAGCTGCACTGCACGACCCCCATGGGTCAAGTGTTCACACCCCGCCCCGCCCAGCTCCCCGCACCCCCCCCCCCGCCCAAAAAAAAAGCCCCCCAAAAAAAAACAAAAGAAGAAAACAAAACGTAAGGGGTTTATTTGGAGGAAAAGACGTGGAAGAGTGGGATGAAGACGTGGTCGGGTTCATTCTTGAAGTGGATGAATAACTTTACCAAAACATTCCACGATTGTAGACAATCCATTGGCGCCCGACTTCATGAATGTTTAATGCGGACATGCTCTCAGACTATCAACACACATCTACAACAACGAGAAAAACAAAAAACATGAAGAACGAGAACATGAGTAAGTTGTGTTTGTTTTTTGTTTTTCCCAGATAGCTGAAAGCTATAGGGGTTCTAGCTTCTAATCAAGGGGGAACAGTGATTTGCGAGATTGATGGCTGGGTGCTATTGGGGTGCAGGTGCTGTTTTGGGGCGCTGGTGCAGGCGCTGTAGGTGCTGAGTGGCTTGAGTCGCCTGAAAGGTAAACTGGACACCTTGGCCTGGAGGCCTGCCGCGGTCCGAGGCCAAGAGTGCAATCCTCGCCCTGTTTTACGCTATCTGGGGTCTATGCCGGTGTAATTCTTGAGGATAAACACAATGTGTGGTTCATATATCGAGACTTAGTTGTTGCTTGTGAATGGGGTTGTAGCCGGCAGCAACCATCAACAGGCCACTGCTTAGGGCCCCCCTTTCTGCACTTCCCCTCCTGCCCGCGTACCCCAGCGATTCAAGGGTACGAACCCTTGAGAAAAAACGATGTTTGAGTCGGTCCATATTCAGTGAAGCTCAAAATGGAATTGTTGTTCCAAATCCAAAGTGACTGCCTGCACCAAGAGAGCTGCTTGATGCGCCGCATAGGCTCCGGAAGGGTAAGTCGGTTCGAGGGGCCGTCGTGGCGCCGTTCAGCGTCACAGTGCCGGTGCCCGTCTGGAAGGTACCGCTGCCCGTATTAGTCATATGCAGATTCCTCGGTCGAAAACCCAAATCTGTGATACCCAACATGGGTCATTCCCAAGGCTGGTGGTATCACAGAAAGTGGCAGCCTGAAAAACGTTGGTTTCCTCAACTGCAGAAAAAACAAGTGGCTGAGAGTTTGAAATCTGGATTCCACGGCCAAAGTTTGATCAGCAATTTCAGGCACCCTACAACCACCCCCCTGTCTGGGCTCCCATGCTGGTTCCTCGGGCCATTGAGAAACAAGCATTGGTGCAGTCCCTCAAGGGCAGCTTGCGGAAATGAACGAACCAACAAGCAAACAAGCGGCAAAGAAGGAAGGAAGGAAGGAAGGAAGGAAGGAAGGAAGAGGAAGAGAAAAGGGAAGAGGAAGAGGAAGAGGAAGAGGAAGAGAAAAAGGAAGATGAAGAGGAAGAGAAAAAGAGAGAGAGAACAAGGCAGCAAAAAACACACAAACACGCACAAAAGCACAACACAACAGGGCACAGCACAGCGCAGTGCAGACAGGCAACCCAGACAAACCAAGCAACCAACAAACGCACAAAAACAAAGCAAACAAACAAAACAAACGAACCACTAAACTAAACTAAACTAAGTCAACCTAAACTGAACCAAACAAGCAAACGAGGGAGTCGCAACCTTGAAAAACTGACAGACTGTTCTTGCAACATCAAGAGCTTGGCAATATGTGGTGCCATGAACATACACAATGTCCGCTCTAGGTTTGAAACTAGTCGGGGTCTTGGATGCCCGCCTACTCCTCTTCTTTCACAACTCTCATTCTGCTGTGGCGTGGTGTGTGCATCTGCCATCTTTCTCCTCCCCGCTAGATAATGCGTTGTTCTGGCAAGATCGGGCTCTCACCCAGTCCTTAAAGTCTATCGAGCCTCAATTCCAACTGAATTGCTCATCCCCCCCCCTCCCCTTACGCAGGGAGTTCCAAGACTCAATGTCGTAAATCATCACACATTGCACCCCAAAGGAGTGAACACCTCAATGGAAGTTCCAGTGCTTCCCGAATTGTGTCTCCCTATGAATCTCAATCCACGTGCGAGTGCCATCCAAGTTTCTTGTTGTTGGCGACCTCCACGTGGCCGTTCAAACTTACGGTGGCCGTGCCGGTGGAGAAGGTGGACGTAGAGCCTCGCCAGCGGAGTTGGGCCCTGTTAGCGGGACTGGAAAGGGAACTGCAACACCCCCAACCCAAAGTGTCTAAGGGTCGACCTTCTCTGTCTAGTCTGGAATCAACCAACCCACATAAACCACATAAAAGGCGACAAGGACAAACTTCAACGAGCGAGACGCGATACTGCAGGACTGAGTTTCACATGTGGGGTTGTCTTCAAAGGGCACGCCCAACATGGTTGGTGTCCTCTTGGCTTTCCCAAGACCATCCACAGAGGGATTCCCAAAGTTCAACATCCACAGGCCTCAATCCTGAAGGCTCCATTCCTTGCGCCGGGTATCATCGACATCGGAAATATATGTTTGCCTGTGGTCGAGCTGGTGCATGCAAAATCGTTCAAAGAGTTAGCTGTTTGGTTGGGCAGCACTCATGTTCCAAGAACCAGCCCAAAGAGCCGCCCAACCACCCAAGCACCCAACCACCCAACCCCACCATGAAATTCATAGAGCGTGAGTTCAGTCAAAATGCATCACTCCTTGGTGAGACAAGTTGTCCCAGGTGAGATCCGAGATCCCGTCCTGTGCCTTCACTGGGAGCCTCTTCTCGGCGTTTTTTGTTGTTGGAGAAGCACAAGGAAGCCGAACAAAACTCCAAGGGCCCAGGGTTTCATCTTTGGAACCCAAAGATAAGAGCAAGAAAGAAAGTGTGCACATTTCACAGATGAAAAGAATCAGCGGCCAGCTTGCTGATGAAAACTCGTTTTGGTAGCCCTCACAACTCTTCATCCGCTCTGCCTTTGGTGTCAAAGCAAAGCATTTGCTCACAGGTAATTGGCTTCCCAAGTAAGTGAGGTGGGCCCAGAGCCCCCGTGCCAACACAAAGGAATGGTAAGGCCCGCCCCGTGTAACCGCTTAATGTTAGGGCTGGCGCCATGCGCAATAAACCTGTACTAGGAGACCTAGGAGACCTCAAATGACCGTTTCGCACCGGTTGGGCTGAGGCAAATGCTTCTTGGCACCGATGGGATGTGACAACTCGCATTCCGCTTCCTAACTTTTTGGATCCTTGACTCCAAGACAAGAACCAAAAGGTTAAAATAGCGGCACAGGGTAAGTGTCGGCTTGTGAAGCCTTGTAGGCACCACGCTCCTCGCAAAAGGAACACTTTTCTCTAAGTAGGGAACACCTGCACGTCGCAAAGGGCTACACAAGTAACCAAAACAAAGGGTCTCGACAACACAAAACATAACATTCAGGGCAAGACATCGCCACGATATTGCTGGGGTGTGTACCCTATTTTGGCCGGGTGCTCAATGGCCGCTCGTTTCTCCAGCAAGACCTACCGACCCACCGCCCGCGCCCACGAAAAACGGCGCCTGTCACGTCGGCCTGCGCAAAGTTGCCATTCAGGGTGATCGAAGCGCCGTTGCCACTTCCTCAAGGCACCGGAAAAGCCATCAAACAAAGACACGCCGTGCTATCTGCACGCTCAACTCGTCGGAGTGAGTTTCAGAAGGGCGTTTGGTTCTACCAAAATGCAGGATTCTGTCCTAGCACCATGTCTATCTAGTAGGGGTTTCAGCCGCTGGTTGCTCGCTTTCTGGGTCAAATTCCCATTCGCAGGCCTTCCCGCTACTTGGTGTTTTGGATTGGTGGTTTGGAGGTTGAAGGGGGTTCGGTTTGGAGGTTAAGCGTGGTTCCTGTTTAAACGAGAACCAGAGGTTCAAGCCCCTAAACCAACCAGTAAGGAACCCTTTTCATTACGGTCGCAAACCCATAGCGGCAATAGTTTGCCCAGATCCTTCGGTGCCTGTGTCCCTCCAATTTCCTGTACAATAAGTCAAAAACTGGAAGGAAATTGCAAGAATCTCAAGTACGTCATCCTCATCACGAGTGACCTCGGTTTACCCCCGGGTGGGTATGCAACGGATCCTGATGCAGGCAGCATGCTTGTCCCTTTGTTCTTCGGAAAAAAATGAAATCCTTATCATCTGCCGGGATCATCGTGTTTTGTCCAAACAGAACCCTACGGGGAGGGAGCAGGTGCAGAGCGGGCGAATTGAAGTCGCTGGCCACAGCCTTGTGGAGAACTGGGGGTCTGCCACAAAGATGGCGGGTTTCCCCGTGTGCGCTGACGTCAACTCCCACAATCCTTGCCAGGAATCACTGATCCGCGGCCCGTGGCAACTCCGGTCAACTTGGGAACCGATTCCGGAACCTTTGGCTTGAAGGTTGCTGTCAAAACATTCCCTTTACATTGCTCAGTCAGCATCAACTGAAGGAAACCTCTGATTAAAATTGGGCCAAACAGGTAATGATTGAAGCCGCAAAGAAGCAATAGGACAATATAGGGATATCTGGTCACAAAACAACTAGGTCTACCCAAGTTCCAAAGATCTCTGACCAGAGCCAGGCAAACATGTCCAACCAGTTTGCCAGTTTGCCGAATGCACCAAAAACATGCCTCAAACGACAAAGATCAGACTTGTGACTCTGGTCCATATTCGGTAAACCTAGGTGAGATAATTTCAAAATTTCTCGGTCACTTTAAACACCCTTCTGGCCAAATTCCTATAATTCACTACCTGGGAAGAAACAGAAATCCCCAAATCAACGGAACCTCCATATCAGGCCGCGCGAATTTTATCCCCGACGCGCAAGCGCGAGAGTTCGAGCGGCCCGTGTCACCCACCACCGTGTTCCCGTAGAGCGTAGTGGTGCCGCCCGCGCCGGCAGAGCCCACGGTGAAGGTCGTCCTGGGCTAAGGCGCGAAGGAACACCAAACAATGGAAACATGCGGTGTCAATTGGGTGTCTTTTTGCCCTTTTTGAGTTGGTTAAAAGGGACACCACAAGGAAAACCACCTTCTTTATCTTTCTTTTGTTTGGGGGGGTCCCTTCAAAAAAGACACACCCAAATAGAGACATTCCAGTTGCCCTTTGTGGGAAAGCATGATTCCAAACTTACTGAAGATTTCATCTATCAGCAAATTGGGGGCAAGTTGTGCAGTAGTTCATGTTTCTCCTCTATAAGGGCAAAGGCTTTTCCAAAATGTTGGGCCTCTTTTCAGGCCCGCTTTTGATTGGCGCGGTGGCTCGCCCCACCTCCCTGTTTCTTGCACGGGTGTTCGACAAGGCAAACAGCTAGCAAAGGAAGCACCACCTCACACGTAAGTGGCTGTGCACCTCCCTCGTTGACGCAGGTGCCTGCTTTTTTGCCCATGGAAAATCACCCCGACATCTGCGATACCGTGAGTCGTTCTCGTGGCTTTATCACTTTGGAGGGGAGTCCCTTGGCGCAACCGAAAACCCGATGCAGGACCATGGTTTTGCCGCTACGCCCGATGCCAAAAAGATCGCGGAACACCATTGCCCACCTGTTTGCGTGTTTGCTGCGAAATCGTGTGCTTTCATTTCCTCATTTGCTCTTTGGTTGTGGTCAAATGAGCTTGTTCTCATTTGCTTATCCCTCAAAGCCAGCCACTTGCCTCAAAGCCGGCCGCTTGAGCAATCTCCTGTTGGCTTCCCTGTGAAGCCAACAAAGCGAAGGCCCTGATTGCGTACACCCCACCGCTCAACGCCAAGGAGGGGCGCCTCCAACATTGCCCCAATGGGCCAACCACACATGGTCCGGTTGCTTTGGTCGCCCTTCAAAAAACCAAAAGAAGCCTTCGAGCCGCACAAACCTCAACGAATCTAATTCCTGACGCTCAAGAGTGTTATGAAAACACAAAGGAAGCCCCTTGTTCTGTTGGTTTAACCAAAAGGGCAACTTCTACTAAACAACTGTTCACCCTTCCCAGCCATGCAACAATGTTGCAGCAGGTTTCCACTTTGTGGCTACCCGAACAGGGAAAGAAATCTCAAGGGTGGTTCATATATGATAGACATATACTTATGTACACACCTTTTTAGGTTTCATCCACCTATCTATCTGTCTGTCTGTCTGTCTGTCTGTCTGTCTGCCAGCCTGCCTGTCTGTCTGTCCCTCCCTCTGTCTATCTGTCTATCTGTCTATCTGTCTATCTGTCTATCTGTCTTTCTATCTGTCTGTTTGTGTATCTGTCCATCTGTCCATTTGGCTTTCTATCTGTCTATCTATCTGTCTATCTGTCCGTCTGTACGTCTGTTTATCTGTTTGTATGTCCATCTGTCCATCTGTCTATCTGTCCAACTGTCGCTCTCCATCTGCCTGCCTGCCTGCCTGCCAGCCAGCCTGCCTGCCAGCCTGCCTGCCTATCTATTTATCTATCTATCTAGCTAGCTATCTATCTACCTATCGTATAGATAGTCCAACAAAGAACACCGAACTCTAAGTCCCGTCGACTACCAAGCACGGAACCTCGCGCAGCCTTCCGCCTTCCAGTTCCTTGCCTGGCGAAACCGAAACGGCAAAAGAGGTTCAGCAGAAACCTACGATTCCTCAAATGAACGGGAATGCTAGCAAAATGGGTGTGTGTGTGTGCTTCCCTGGTCTTGTGCTTGAAGTTTGGAGCTCGTCCGTGTTCCAAATGAAGTGTGCAGGAAAAATCCACCCAACATCTTTTGCTCCCCTGCCGGATTGAAATCCCACCTGAAACTACCCTTTTGAGAGGAATCTCTTTTTGGGGACCCGCACTTCAGCCCCCAAGCCGAGGGGCGAATCCGCCACGGTGGTCGCGCCGTTCAGCCCCACGTTCCCAGTGCCCGTGGTGAAGGTTTTCGCGCCGCTGATGGTCGTGTCCCCGTTCACGGTCACCCTGGGCAGATCTTGCGCATAGGTGTCCTTTTGGGGCAAATAGATGGCCCTGGTAGATGATGAAACCACCAGGTAAACCAGGAATCGCCCTCTATTGTTTAAGCAAACCAACCAAAAAGCACACCTATGATCTTGCGATCGCTTCGACGGAGAATTGGAATGAGAATTGGAATGATCCCGAGATAAACCATTCCCGACTGTGGATGTGCGAATTTTTGTTCGCACCACTTTGAAACCATGGTTGAAACCACTGTTAGTTGGTATTTAGAGGAGAATCGTCATTCCAGGGCCTCTTGAGTGGTGCAGGAGTTCGTCCATCCACAGTATGGTTTCCTTTGAGGGAATCCCTAGGTTCATTCCCAACACCCTGGGCCATTCCCTGCTGAGCCCCGAACTGGAAACTGCCCCTACAACATGTCCTGTGGCCAGATGCACTCTGTTCCTAAAATTAAATACCCCCTCCTGGAATTGATGACATACCACATGAACCACAAATGCACCTCAGACAGAAGTAGAGAATCTTCGGCCCATTTTTCCCTTTGGGTTCCTTCATTCCTGTTAACCAGCAACATTGAGGGTCAAGTCTGGCCAAGTGCTTTCCCATCCTATGTGACCTCACCAATTTAACGTCTTGGGAAAAAGCAAGTCCTTCTCATTTTGGCATTTTGGGGAAACAAACTCTCCCCATTTGAAGAAGATCCAACATACTTCCCCTACAGATCGTCAACATGGAAGCCAGAAAGCTAGGGGGTTGAAACTCACTTTTCAGAAAAGGGGAGTCAACAGGTGCGGTGGGACCTGCAATATGCAGCTGGAATATTCTCCATGTTGCTCATAGTTGCCTGAACTTAGATGGACATTGTCATGCCTGGCGAACGGCCAGCACCTTGTCCTTTTCGCAGGGGATGGGGGGCAACGGCCCTTCGAGGCGATGTCAACGGAGAACCAACATACATGAAATCAACCACTTCAAGGGGTCCCTACCTTTGACACATATTCATTTGGCGCCATTCGGGGAGTTCAAAACACAAAGATTTGCAAATGTCGCCTTTGATGAAAAAAGACTTTGTTGCTGTAGTCGCCACGGATGATGACCCCGACCAATTTGGCAACTTCGATGGTGATGACTTGTACCAATTCTGTCCTATTTGGGGAGGCCATTTGAGAACCTCTGGTTTTCCTTTTGGTTTCAGTTTGAACAACAGGTGAAATGGATGCTCTCAAACGAACACGGACACACACACACACACACCTCATTTCCTGTTCGGGAAACAAGTGGGTTTGTGCATTTTGAGGCTACCCTTTTGAGGTGGGTGTCAAGCGATCGCGCCCGTTCGCTGGGGGCTCCGGGCGCTCCCGAGGAGGTCTTAAAGGCGCCTGCAAAAGGATCCACGATCTGCGCTGGGGGAAATCTGACGCCGGATGAATCAATCTGTTGGATTTCGACCGCATCAAAATGGGACACCCCCTAATTAGCTGACGCTTGGTAGAAACACAACATGATAAAGTGATAGATGGAAAAGGGAACAGTCCGGATGAACCGTCCAAAAATCAACTTGGGGCTAAGCAATTCTGGGTTCCCATTACATGAAACCGCTGATGTTGCGAGGACTTTTTCCTGCAACCGCCCCTGCCCTAGTCCTTCCTTGTTCCTGGGTAAGGCTTACACGTACTTGTCTGGGGTGGACAACCTCGTTGTTCCTCTCCTATTTTCGTCACGGCTGGTAAGGTCGCTGCTTTCACCGGATGCGTGGGCGCTTTGCTTGCACTTTCTGGGTGGTTCGCTTGGGACTGGCTTGTGCCGAAGCGCTCTATTGGTTCCCAGACCCTGACCCCGACGTCTACATTTCAAGACGTAGAAGCAACAGTGTGCCTGCTACCTTTGGATGGAAAGACCCCCCACGACATGTAAATGACAGGTCCGCCAGGGCAAACACCTCAAGACAAATCGATGGGCTCGCTTCTTCTTTGCGCGGACGTTGGTCCACCTGAAAATTGGGGTCTCCCTCGTGTCAAACAGCCAGTCCACCACTTGGCCTTGGACATGGCCATGGGTCAAAATCCAAATCGTACCCCCAGTCCCACTAAAATAGGTTCTATGATGGGTGGTGAATTCACCTACCCCAACATGGGATCCCCTTGGCTTTGACCCACAGCCACATCTGAAATCAGCACGCGAGGGCAACTCACGTACGTCAGCCGTTCAAAGGCCCAAGGAGTCCTCCGAGCTACGGAGGGCCTTCGCGTGAGGGACCTCCCAAGGAAAAACGTGCAGACTGGGAAAAACACCACCAAAAAAAAATGAAAAAAAATGTGCTTCTATCAGCCGCCGTCTTTCAGGCTCCGTGCTTGGGAGGATACCGAATTTTGGGAGCCGAGTCTGACGCCACACCTGGTCCTGGGCCCGGCCTGTGCTGGCGCTGGCATCAAAGTCTCCGGCGCTCAGCGTCAGACCGCTGTCCACCTGAAGGCTCCCGAAGCTCGGCTCTTTAGTCTCACTTCCTCAGTAAATTAACCAAACAAAGAGTCCTCCAAACTCGTTGCTCCCCGCAAGTTAGAGTTCATGAACTCGGGGAGATTCTTCGTCTTCCTCTGCTTCATGTTATTCCTCCTCCACCTTCTCCTCATCATCCTCATCGTCGTCATTGTCATCGTCGTCGTCATCGCCATCGCCATCGCCGTCGTCATCGTCATCTGCATCGTCATCGTCCTCCTCCTCCTCCTCCTCCTCATCCTCCTCATCATCATCATCATCATCATCATCATCATCAGCATCAGCATCATCATCATCATCATCATCATCATCACCATCATCATCATCATCATCATCATCATCATCATCATCATCATCATCATCATCATCATCATCATCATCATCATCATCATCATCATCATCATCATCATCATCATCATCATCATCATCATCATCATGTGCGGTGTTGTGTTCTTGAGTTGTGCTGGGAGAGGTACCATGCTTGGGATAGAATATGACAGGCCATCCACAGGACGCAAATCTAAACGGACATGTGACATGAGGTCTAACCACCAGCAACGAAAGATCAGCCCAAAACGGGTGACTGGCAGTCACGTGCGAAACGGCCGCTTTTCGGGCACAAAGAGGAACTTGCGGAAGACAACCAGTTCTTTCATGGCCAAACAAACCGTATGGAGGGATCCAACCAGTTTTGTTCTACAAATTTATGTTGAGGCTGTTGGTTGTTTCAACCAAATCCGCTCCAACCAGTTTCCACACGCTCTCATCCAATCCTATCCAATCCTATTGATTCAAACACCAGGAGTTCACAAGTTCTTTTCTTTGTTGAACAGATTGAACCAGCCAGCACCCAACAAAACCAAGAAGTCAAACTTTAAACAGTTTAAACAAGTCCCAGAATCGGAACAAATCCTTTGACCAGCTCACTCCCTGAAGCTCCGTGGAAAACGCAACGTCTGGGTTTCAGTCACTGGGAGCTCACCCTCGGCCCCCGGCCGAGAGCGTGGGCAGCGTGCTGCTGGGGAAGTTCAGCCTGCGCCGTTGGGAAGCAAAAGCTGAAGCCTGATGTACTAAACCAGATCAACCTGGAACCTCCAAAAACAACTATTTGCGGAGGAATGTGTGTGTGTGCTTTCTGGGGGGAAGCGCTCCTTTTTACTACTTGTGAAGGAATGTAGTTCTTCGTTTGTGGTAAAAAACCATTTGTAGGAGACCGACCAAAGCCCCCGCACACACACAACCAAAGAAGGGTTCGGAAGGAACCCGCTTGCAAGGAGCTCTTGGGGGGCTGAGAAAAGTTCTGGTGGGTGGGAGGGGACCCTAGTGAGAATGATTAGGCCCACCACAGAACCGCAAGAAGCACCTGAAAACCAGCGGCACACGTCAAAACCACAAAAATCAAAATACAAACATACAACACATAGCAAAAAGATCGGCGTTCCACCTCCCCCCCCCCCCCGCCCCTCAGCCTGTTGCCGGTTCCCAGACTGGCGGCGCAGTAGGCGGTCACGTAGCTCTGAGCTGGGACCTGGTGGGGGGAAGGTTTCGTCAACCCTCGCTTCCACCAACGTGGCATCTGACACGAGGAAATTGATCTTCCAGGTACCCTCCCACTATTAGTGGGAGCGAGGGTACTCCCCAAATATATGTATATATATATAATATATATATATATATATGTACATGTATATATTATAAGATACAAGTTACTTTCATATATAAGATGCTTGGAGAGCCCAGACTTGATGTGGTGGTTTGGTTGTGCGTTGGGAAGCTGATATTGAGGTAGCAATTGGCCCGTTGGGCAGCTTAGCTGTGACCAAGCGAATCTCCCTCGCCTGTGCCTTGGTAGGTTGAGGCGAGAAATACCGGGGCCGCCTTTCCTAGAAATGTCCGTTTTCCCGCCATTGAGGTTGACCCCTATACGGCTGTGGGGCAAAATCCTGTACCCCTGGTGAACGTCAAAATAGCTGGCAAATGGATGTTCTTCCACCCCAAGATGGAGCCATAGGTTATGCCCCGTGGCCATATGTGTCCAACCAATGAAAACACGAGCTGATGCAAACGAAAGAATGCCGACATCCGAAACAGGGGGCCCTGCGAGGTCTACTTGGTCTACCTTGAGCACTCTGGAGGGCCTCGTCCAGCCCCGTCAGCTGGCATCTTGGCGCCAGTGCTTCTAAAGCTTGCCACATCCAGCCTTTCGGGGAACTTTACATAGGCCTGTACACTCAACACTACCCCTGCGCTCCGCTCTCTCACTGAAAGGGAGGAAGCAAAAGCCCAAGCTCGGTAAATTCTCCACACCAGCGGGCGCTGTGGCCTCGCACAACGACAGTCTGCACATCCCCGCTGAAAATGCCTAGCACGCACACCTGGCATGCTCAACCTCAAGCTCCTGCACAAAGCTCTGCACATCATTCGCTGCAATGGTCACAGGCCCCGTCTCATCTGAAAATGCGATGGTGGATCCGGGGGGGCAAGAACTAACCACAGCGCACGCAAGGGGCTTGCATGTGGCACTGCATGCCTTAGTTGCATCCGGACCATTCTCATCTCCGCAAGAGTCCTCGCCCACCAGGCCAAAGAAGGCAGTCTCGCACGCTGTGGCACTTGCGTCTGGCGCTTTGGCGCGTCCACCTCTAAGAGATGTGCTGAGCTGCTTCTGCACTCGCGAATGGTGCAGCGCCTTGGTCAAGTTCCATACCTTGGCCTTGCTTGCAGTACACGGGCAGCTGGGTTGTTCAGACTCAAGCTTGTGCGCGAACCTGTTCACATCTGCGGCTGCGATCGTCACGCTCCATCCACTCTCATCTGTAACTGAGATGGGAACTCCAGGGATGCAGGAACTGACCACTGCGCACCTGAGCGGCTTGCAGGTGGCGCTGCATACCTCGGTCGCCCTGTCACAAGAGTACTCGGAGATAAGCACGCCGAAGGCAACCCCACATGTTGCGGAGTCTGCCTGCAGAGGTGTGACCAATGCCAGCATGATGGCAATAATGAACTTCATGGCTGCCGAAAGTTGCTCGATCGCAGGCTTTGGTGCAGAAGTGCTGGCGCCACACTTCTGCGGGCATGCATTCAGCGCCTCAAGATGCACGCGCAAACAAATCGAGCTGGAGCACCGAAGGTGTGTGTCACACGGAACCAAACAGGGCAAGAACAAATATGCGCTGCTCCCAAAGATTTGCGTAGACTTGCAGGTGGAGCAAGAGCTCAGTCCAAATATCGAGTCCAGTGCTCCCATGTGCGATCGCCACCTCGATCAGTTTCAACATGATTTCCTCCCTTCCCCATCTGGCAACATAGCGAAACTAGTTTGGGGCCCTCCAAATACCTTCTTTTCGCATACAAGTGCAGGGCGCTGCTTTCAGCATGAGCTCCAAAACCAACTACTCCCCCCAGCTACCCGCACCCCTCCTGTCCCAACTTCGGCCCGAAAATCGACTCGGCCCCTTGCCTTGTATGTGATCCCTGCCCCGCTGTTGTCGGCGACGCTGACCGTCTGCGTGGCGTGGGTGTTGATGAAGGTGTACACCCAGACCTCGGTTCCGGTCCCCTTCCATTCGGGGCTCAAAAAATGGTGTTTCGTGTTTGATGGTACCCTTTGTGGTTTTCAAAGCAAACCAAAAGCAAAACCATCATTCTGGGGCCCCGCTTCAGTTCTTTTCCGTTTGGGTTTGAACGAAAAAGAACTAGACGAGTGACCCGGAAGAGGGCAGCACGCACTTGCGAAACCCGACCAGCAAAATTTAGTTGACAGGGGGCACTGCAACGTACATTTGACTTGCACGCTTCACTCAACGAGACCGAGGCAGGAAGGAAGCTGATGTGGGCCACGTTGTGGTATTGAGGCGCAGAGTCTAAGAACTCAATTGCACTACACATTACATATGAGCCCCCGCCCCGTGCATCGATCCCTCCAAGGGTCGCCCTGGTGCCCACACTCACGGGGATCAGTTGTGACCATCCCTGCGCTCTTATCCATCGATCGTTCCATGTGAGATCCCGCTCAGGGGCCTGGCGGCTTCTTCCGCTGATGGGTACGCGCTCTCCCTTAACTGAGCTCAGTTCTAACCATCCTTGCACTCGATGGATGAGCGACGCTATACAGCGATCGTTCCATGATGCGCGAGATCCGCTCAGGGGCCTGATGCTGGCGGCTTCTGTCATTGATGGGTAAGCGCTCTTATCCATCGATCGCTGCCTCCGAGAGCAGCCGCGCGTTTTTTTCGCCCCTGACACGTCCGATCCAAGCAGAGGCTGGCGTTTGGATGGCTCACGCCCATCCTCGGCGCCTCATTAGACGTATTTAAAGGCCAGAGGTGGCAGCGCAGTGCACAGTGGGCTATGTGATTGACAGTGACACTGAGACAGTGTTGACACAGTGAACCGAGACAGTGTACAGGCTATGTGATTAAACTCAGACAGTGTACAGTTGGCTACTTGGCTATGTGAACAGCGCTGGCAAAGGTGCCAAGTTTAGCAGAGGATGGCTCGTTGTCAATCTACTCAGAACTTAGCCCCTTGCGAAGACGTATGTAAGTTGCTCATCTGACCTTGCGTAGATTAAGCGGAGCTGTAAAGCATGCGGTGAGGTTGGACAACGATGATTTGGTGAACCAGGCAGCGCAGGCTGTTGGGGAGACTTCCAAGACAGGCACACCCAGTGACCCTTTCAGGCAGCTGCAGCCTGTGCTCCCTAGGGCCATCGAGAGGCGGAAGGCAGATAACGCCCACGGGTGCCAACACCAAAACAGACACCCACCCCCTTGCCATGGTGAGAGGGGCGAAGTTTTCCCTTGGCCCAGCTTTGAAAGCCGCCGTTTTGCTCATGAGCTCTTTTGTGTAGTAAAAAGGTCATCCGATTTGTGTTCATATCCCTGAATGCCATCTGGTTAGTCGGATCGACCAAAGACAGATGAAAATCGGAGATGTCCAACCGGTTTCGATCCTTTCCGCGGCTTCCATCTGTGAGAGGTCACTCGACTCAGAGTACATGATGAATCTCCTAGAGTAGATCCTTCCCCCACTAAAAGGGCAACCTTTCGAGGAATGCACCGGCGCCAAGGTTAGCAACTTGTTTGGTCCCTAGACCACCAGACACTACTTTTCTTTTCCACCAACTGGGGTTGCTTGAGGTTCTGAGCGATCCTCTCATTCTCATCTTTCGGAAGCCCGGCTCGAGCCGCGCCAAATCTCGAGCCCCCCTGCGCCGCTGCGCGAGGTCGAGCGGATCCACTGGGCGCTGCTGCAGGCCTCGCGGATCCGATCATTGGACCTTTTGCTCTAGAGCTTCTGGGAAGACCGAGATACTTTTGGGCTTGCTTTTCCTGTAAGGGCAGCTCCAAGGAGAAGGACAAAAGAAAGAGCAAGGCCATCATTCGGCTTTTTGCCGAGGTACGCTTTTTGCCTGCCTCTTGAATTTCTCCGAGAGAGGGTGACAGTTTTGAAGCATACCTAAATGACAAACAAACCTAGTACTGGGGAATCCGCACAAACATCACGCAAAGAATCAAGTGGACAGAAATCCGCGCCAATCTATGTTTGGGACTGTCCCTGACTAGCCTTCACCTGGGGCGTTGACTGTGGCTCACACATTCACAGTCTGGAGCCTGAAGTCAATTGGGGGACATGTTCAGAAAGATGAACAAAGGGAAACCAAAAGGAAAGCGCCGCCGCAGATTGCGGCTTGCAGCTGTCTTGGCACCCTGCAAACACGAAGCGTGGCGCCGTGCTGTTGGGAGTATCCGTCATCGCCAGCGTCGCCAGCGGCCAACATGGTGCAAAGAGACGGATTTTGTTCCATTTGAGTCAGTGAATGTTCCCTGGCGTCTAACAGGATCTTGCTGTGGCTGAGACACATCAAACACCCTATAGATTCTTCCTGCCGGGAAGTGGTATGCTTCTTTGTGGCGAGCGTCCTTTCAAGACCCAAACAAGGGGGTCCCATGCTAAGTCACATCTTAAGTCACACCCTGTCTGTAAGAACACTCCCAGACCCCATCTTGGGGCTTTTCTTGTTTGTGTGGGTGTGTCCCGCAACCCCTTGTATTCTGGTGGTCACCATCACCTCCGGAAAGCCGGACAACTACGTGCCTGGGCGCATCTAATTCGGAGGCCACGGGCTCCCTTCAACGCCTTGGCGACTGATCAGTCGCGGGACTCAGTCGCGCGCCTGGATGGTGAGGGTGATGTCCTGGCTCACCGTAGCAGGCGTGATGAAGCAATCCGGACCTTGCGTCGAAGGCAGCCAGGCCGGGTTGCATAAGCCTGCTACCGCGCCCGAACATGTGTTTGAGAGGCCAAACGAGGGTGTGACCAACGCTGGCAGATTCCTAACGGCAACTCCTCCAAAAGTGGTCCGGATATCCAAAATGGCATGCACACCCAAGGATCAAAATCAAGCATGGTTTCGATTAATCCTAGGTTCCCATTGGTGAGGCGGGGCAGGTATATACAACCAGTTTGGACTTTTGGTCAGCTAGATTTGCGTGCTTTTAAAAAAAAAAAACTGAACCATTTGAGGGGAGGGGAGGAAAAGGAGGCCAAAATGGTGTGCTGCCTGCATACGTTCTGTCCTTGCTCCTGAGTGCTGCGTAGACTCGATACGATTGAGAAATATTCATGAGCAGTGTGAATGAGCATTGTTGCCAGCCAGCACGCAAACAAGGCTGGGTTCATGGTTCGACCCCAAGCATGAAGTAAACTGCATGCCAGTTCGTAGGAAGGCCCTTCATTCTTCTTGCAGGTAAGCTTGTTTCGGTCGTAAAGAGCAGTCAAGAAATGACAGCCATCAAGCAGCAAAAATAACAGGGGGTGACATTGCGCCATTGAGTGTCTCTGGTTTGAAGGAGTTGGACCACCTGACAAATGGGTTGCAGTGATGGATTCAACAGGAAAGCAAAGGCTTAGTTTGGCCTTCAAAAGGGGTGAAGGTTCAGGAAGCCCAAATCGTCCGCGGGACTTGGTTGATTGATTTCTGTCAATCCCGATTAACCAGTCACCATTTAAGCGAGCTTCAAAGGACAAGCGAATCAGGACCTTTGCTGGCAAGAGTCTTTATCACGATCGGGCTCTTGCACATAGTGACCGAGGAACATAACCCCAGCAAGCGCAGCCTTCATGCCATGTGCTGGGAATATTTAACAGGTTGCTTGCGCTGGCTAGAGGTTCAACGCAGAGTCCACCGCCTGCTAAGGCCCCTGGCAAACGTTGCTGTTGCACGCGCTGGTGCTGGAGACGTCGATGGAGACAGCTGGCGTTTCGCGAGATTTGCAGTCATAACCAGGGTTCCTCATAGGTCTCTTTTGAACATCACCCTCAAGCAAAACATTGACCCAAGTTGATGCTTAAACTAGCAAAAACGGGAAAAGTACAGGGACCCACGACAGGGCTGGTTTGCCCTCTTGTCCAGTCCGCAAGCCGCCCTAGATATATATATATATATATATGTATGCACATACGTGCGTACAGTTTATAGATCATATATGTATATAGGTATATGTCTATATTCACACACATTTATATTTAGTCAGGTTGGAGTTGGCTTGACTAATTGAAAGCTATCTCCCTGACAGAAGACGGCAACAAGCACGCAGGAGAAAAAATGCGCGCGCATTGGCAGGAGCAGGAAAGGTTAGCCTGATCGGGATGCAGTCGTGGGCACCGCAAGTGGGGGGAAGAATTACACGGGTTGTGTAAGGACGACCCCCGGAAGTCCACAAAGGGTTCAAGATTCGATTTTTGCGCAAGCTGAAGCACGCAAAGGCATGAGCTCTTTGAGGTCGATCGCCCGGAAGTCCGAAGTGACAATCGTTAGACAACTCAAGTTGTTGAGGGTCGACCCGCTCAAAGTGCGCAGCGGGTGCGGGCTCCTTTTGGGGGGGGGGGGTGGTATTGAGGGCGGGGAGCAGGTAGGAGGGACCATTTGGTCCAGCCCCCCAACCCCCCATTTATGAGTGTACAAGTCTACAATGCAGAAGTTCAATCTTTGCCCGGTCCCCTAATTGCCCATCTTCGGGGCCCTGACTGGCCGCATCGCTGATCTCAAAGCAGCCCACCCCTCGCGACGCCGGAGGTGTCGCTACGGGTGCGGCTCGCAAACGAGGGCTACTTGGGTTGGGCAAGGGACTCCTTGGGGCTGGAAACCGAGAAGTTTCCGCAGACGAAGCGTTTGCTAAACCAAGGGGAAGTCAAGGCGTGGTCTCGCCGTAGGACTACAAAATGGACATGCTCGATTCTGCGTTGCTGTTGCCCTGGTAAGAAAGTGCTCACTTGGGCTGCCCGTCATCCCATCAAAGCAGGTGCAAAGTAAAGAGGGTGCAGTGAATGTAAAACGACTTTTGCAGCCGTTTGAATGGAAATTCACTGTTCAGTGACCTGTTTGGCAGTTTTGGAGATGCAACAAACTCCAACAGAAATCTGTCCAAGATAGATTCAGAGTAAATGGGATTTCTGGTAATTACCGGGGAAGAATAGTGAATACTCCAAACATGAAATTTGGTCGATATCTTCGCTGGAGACACGGATACCAATACTGGCATGCAACACATGATCCATTCAACGGGTTGAATGTGCTTCTGAGTCGAAGATGCTTGACCTCCCGATGCTCCATCGGCCCTTTGTGTAGATTATATGAATCATATATTCAGAACATTGGAGAGGTCTACCCAAATCCATGTAAAGAAATAGAAGGGCGGCCGCACCCATTTATGATTGGGACTCTGCTCACTCGCTTAACTGGGCTTTGATTGTGGCTCATGTCCTTTACCTAGTGAGATGGCTCATGTCCTTTACCTAGTGAGATGGCAATCCCTCGCTCAGCTTTTCCTTCGTAGAACTGACACCGCGGTATCTGGAAAGACCCGGCAGAGATATGGGAGGACCACACTCCCGCATGGTTGCATGATCCTCTTCCGAGTACGATTCACAAGTCAGGTGACCAGCTTCATTTGTTCGGAGCCCCTTTTCAATTCCAATGATTCTGGAAGTGCTAAGTTGTGCGCTGTATTTATCTTCGCTTCTTGCCTTTACCGTGACGGCTTGAAGACTTCTCCCCGAAGTTTCACTGATTTTGATGCCGACCCGCATAACATCGGCCGCAGGCGATCGCCAAGGCAAGCTCGGGTTTTGGCCATCAGAAGGCCCACCGCCCCGGAGTCTCCGGGCGTTTGCATCGCCAAAGCGGACTCAACCTCGGCCTTTGTTCGGGTTAGGCGACCCAACGTCCGACATCTATCCCCTCAAAGCCGCCTCATTCGCAGCTGTCGAAGCACCCCCGGTCTTGTCAGCCACAATTTGCGCCACTTCCCTCCAGGCTGCACTGGGGGGATGCTTTCGGGAGGCTTTCCTCGGCCACCTACGGCGATCGATCCCAGTTCGGAATGTTGATCCAGACAGCAGGTTCCTCCTTGGACCTGATGGAGCCAATTGTGGACGTGTGCAGTTGCCTTCTGAAAATAATTTTGCATGTTCACGAGAGAAAACCAAGGGCCCTTTTTCTTGGCAAGGTTCTGCTTCGAAGGGCAACCCAGGTGTCCGTTTGGCTGAACATAGACACTGGTAAGCGACTAGAACCGTGAGACCAGGGGTTCCACAAACTGCCTATAGCCAGGAGAGCAAGCTGCGGGGCCCATTGGCTCAAATCTGTGCATTCCCAAATAAGAGACTCAAACAGGACCCTTTCTCAGGCTTCCCAAAGAGCCTGCGCTGGTGCCGGTGGTCATGAAGCCCGCAAGCCGCCGCTTCTCCTGGCAGAGAAGATTATACGTGCCACTGGGCCAAGATCGTGCCACGATCTTGGCACTGGTTGACATTCCTCAAGTAGCCAACCACCTCCACCAGCCTACCAGGGCGTTCTGACCATACAAATGGGGACCTGCCACCGCCTAGGCCCCCCTCCCCGCGCCACAGTCCAAAAGCTGGGCTTTCCGCTCTTTCGGAAGCGTTACCCGTCTTAGGCTTCTCAGTCTCTCTCTTCAAACCGCCCGCTGGCCCCCTCGTTTGTGTGTGGCCGCACTCTTGCCAGGTCTTGTTGTTTGGCGCTGCGGTGTTTCTGCCAACCTTTTTTTTGTCCAAGCCCTTTCATTTGGGTGACCTGTCCGAATGACCCTTTGATTAAACAGGGCGGACAGCTGGTGTGGTCCCATCTTGACGGGCGTGGTATGATTAGGGACCCATCGTTGGAAACCCCCCTTTTCTTCATCGCGGCTCAAACGCTTGGGTTTAAACGAATTGGGTTTGGGGTTCGAAAGTAGGATGCTGCTGAAAAAGGGCGCTGGTGGATTTTTTCATGGATCGCAATGCTTGAAAAAGCCCACTCATGAGCTCATGCAGTTAATTTCCACTCAAAATCCGGCGAACAGGCTGGAGGGGCCGAAAACTTCAACAAACATTCATCCCTCTGTGGCGTCGTGTGGGGAATCAAGCATCGCAGATGCGGATAGATGCAGGCGTGTGTAAGAAACTGCCCATGGCGCGAGATCCGGGGTCAAGCACTGCGCCCACGAGCAGTTCCAAAGAAACAGAAGCGAGCATGTGGACAATCTCCCATACAAGGTAGGACATCCCCGTGGATCATTCCAAGGGCTTCTCTTGGTATCACAGAAATACCAAGGTTTCCACAACCACGGTGCGGGGAAAGGGCTGCCCCGACCAAAGAAGCCAAATCATGCTCGTTTCATCTGAAGATGGGGGCTCTTTACTCGAGGCCGTTGAGCGCCAAGTTGCGCACTTGGCGCTAGAAGATCCATGGCTTGGAAGCTGAAACTGCCTCTGCAAATGGAAGCGGTGCATGTAGTGCCTACCATTGGAAGCTGATCGTATCGCCCGCTGGTCATATCGTGCCGGCCCGCGACTATGCAATAATGCCAGGTCCGAACGAGTCTGTCTCCAAAAGGGGAAACCCTTAGATGTTTGTTAAATGTATATATACATATGTTTCGGAAATATATATATATATATATATTCGGGGAAAACCAAAAGGAGACCATCTGGATGAACATGGCCCCTTATTTTAACAAGCACTCAATTTTTTCGGGCTGGCTTCACCCCCCCAAAAGGGACCAGCCAAGGCTCTGCCAATACCCGCCTCCGCATCCTCAAAGGCGGCCATATGCCTACGAAAAGAGAGGCTTAGGTGGGTTGGCTTCCTGGATGGGCTTCCTATGTGAGCTGGTGCCCAAATGGGCTTCCTATTGGTGTGGTAAACTGGACTTCTAAACATGTGAGCTAGTATCCGATATGACTTTCCTACATTGCGTTTCCCAAAATGAGTTTCCTCAAACAAGAGTTGGTTTCCAATGTGGGTGTTCTCCAAAAAGGTTTATTGTGCTTCAAGGAAAGCCATGCAAAAGCCAGCCGATACTAGCCGATACTACGGCCCCCCTTTGGCACCAAGTCGGAAGCGGAAGCGGGACAGGTTGTCGGGCCTGCAAAGGTGCGACAGCTGAGATAGCGCCACCAGCCACAGGTCGAGTAGGAACCCCCGGGTTCATGTGTCAGCCGCGCACCCACTGAGAAACTGAAAGTTGCACGACGTCTCTTCCGAAACGTCCAGGTTCAACCCCACGCTACCTCGCTGGGAAGCTTGCCAAGACGCTTCGTCAAAGCGCATCCTTTCACAGAGACGAACAATGACGAGCCGCACGTCGAAGCATACCCCAGAAGAAGGAACCATAGCTTCCGCTTGTCTCTCCACCTAGACGCAGGCCATGTTTCTGCTGCCCAGCTGAAAGAGATGGGGGTCTCTGGTCTCTGGTCAAAGCTCAGGATGAGGCATGGAGCTGGATTGAGGGTGGGGGGGCTCCGGAAGGCGCCGGTTCCGGAGGTTCTGGGGGCTCCGGAAGCCCTAGGGAGTCCTTCCAGCATGAAGCACACACAACTTCCCAACTGCAAATCGAGAAGTTGGGATTCAAGTTGCTGGGTCGCGTGTTCCGGAAAAAAAAAAAACTGGCCGTCATTAGGAGAAAAACCTTCATTGATGTCTCCTTGCATGACTCTCCTCTCGCGAACGACCGCAAACCATGAAAATTGGCAGCCGTCAGGGCAACCTCCAATCAACGGGTTCCGATCATATGCAAGAATCCAGTTGGACCCCTGCAAGAGGCACCCTAAAATCGGCGGGGGCCCGCAATGTGGGCCAAGGGATACTGCGAAAGAAGGGTTAGCTTCAGCAATCAAAGAGGATCCACTAAAATGGAACTAAAGCGGTATGCCGAAAGGCCCAAAACTGGGAGATGAAACTGCGACTGCGGAGGTTCTTTGGCCGGAGGTCTCTTTTTGTTTTTTTTTTCTCTCTCTCTCTCTCTCTCCTCAGTTGCCCAAAGGACCCAGAAATAAAAGGTTAACCTTTTGGGGCCATGACTAAAAATGGACCAAAAAGGGGAAACCAAAAGGTCAAAAGGTTGGCTTTGGGCAAGTGAGTCTCTCTTTCTCTCTCTCTTCACTGGCAGCCGTCTATATCCAACCAGAATGGTGGGGGCCAATAAGGTAATGTCTGCACCTTCCCAATGGATTATAGATCCAAATGGGTTTCAAATCACCATGAATTCAGAGAAACAACTTGGGGGGTGAACTGATTCTTGGTTCCTGAGCCAGAGGCTGAAGTCAGAGAGCAGTCCAAAAGGACTCCGCAAATGGGGTTCAGGTTAGATGGCCTTATTCTCAACCAAGGGGATGATCTCAGCAAGGAGCCTACTTTTTGTTCAACTGAAGGCTGGATTGGTAGCCTTCGACCCAGGGAACCAATGCTGACCCCAGCCTATTGTTACGCGGGGGGGGTCCATCCAAAGTGCTGAACCCCCGCTACACAGGGGGTACCCGCCTAAACCAGGGATTCATTAGTCCAGGCTTCCCACTAATGTCAATCTCGGAATAATCCGAATGATGATTCCCTTGTAAATACCAATAGACCATGGTTTCAACGATACAGTATGAAAGTCCTTTGCTCGTGGATCCTTTATTTCAGGTCATGGCCATCTAAATGTTTACCGTACCCAAAACCGATTTCGACCAGGGGACCACGCCTCACGGCCCAATCCGGATCCGGGGGTTTCAGCCTCACGGACCCCCAAGCACATCTGAGGCCACAGGCCCCGGGAAGATCTCCTCCACGTGCGGCCGTCTTCTCGCCTCACGGGGGCTGGTTCCGGTGGCTCGGCTGACATCGGAGCTCCGGAGGTCCCCTCAAAAACCTCAAAGGAGCCCGTGCAGAGAGCCCCAGAAAGGAAACCGCCCATCCTGAAAAATAAGCCCCCAAACCCTGCTGTGTTGCCCAAGAAGAAAAACAGAAGCTGACTCCGAGTCCACGGGCCAAAACAAGAAACAGCCGAAGTGTGTGTGTCTTTCCGAGGCTAACCTTTCGACTTTCTACGTTGTGTTTGCCGGTGAAACCAAAAGGACCACCGAGGCCATGTTCTTCTTTCTTTCTTTGTTCCTTTTCGTTGTTTCTTTCTTTACTTATTTCCTTCTTCCTTTGTCTTTGTCTTTCTTGCTTTTTCTTTTTTGCTTTCTTTCTTTCTTGCTGTCTTGCATTATTTCCTTCTTTCCTTCCTTCATTCCTTCCTTCCTTTCTTTCTTGCCTTTGTTCTTTCGTGATTTATTTATTTCTTTCTTTCTTTCTTTCCTTTCTTTCTTTCTTTCTTCCTTCAACCTTATTTATTTCTTTATTCTGTTATTTCTTTCTTTATTTCGTTCTTGCTTTCGCTCTTTATTGCTTTCTTTCTGGAGTTATTTCTTTCTGTAATTGTTTCTTTCTTTCTTTCCTTCTTTCTTGTTCTTTCTTTCTTTCTTTCCTTTCTTTCTTTCTTTCCTTTCTTTCTTTCTTTCCTTTCTTTCTTTCTTTCCTTTCTTTCTTTCTTTCTTTCTTTTCTTTCTTTCTTTGTTTCTTTCTACTTTCAGGGGGGGGGTCCTGTCTTTGCCACACAAATGGTTGATATGGGTGGGTTTTGTCCCACCCCCCCCCCCCCCCCCCCCTCGCCTTTTGCAGGTTGGTTTAAAGGGAAAAGACCGCAGCCATTTTGGGGGGCCATTCCGCAAAACGGAACCCGAGCCAGCCATGCAGCCCGGTCCCGACTCCCCTCGCCCCGCCTGGGCCCCACTATGGGCGAAGAAGTCCCCGGGCCTCGGGTCTGACATGTAAACCGAGGAAGGTATGGTCAAAGGCAAAGATATAAAGCACCCCCCCCAAATGGCCATGGGTCAAAATCCAAATCGTAGCCCCAGTGAACATCCCAATCCCCACTAAAATAGACTGAAATGGGTGGTGCACTTACCCCAGAATGGTTGGGAGCAAACATGTCTTTGTTTGAACTGGATGCAAACGATCTCGTTTGAAAGGGGAAACCGAAAGGGGTTGTTTCACCACTTCAACAATGGGCTCCTTACGCCACCCCTAGTCAAAGGATCCCCATGTTGCAAGCCATCCCCGACAACTCACATGGAAGGGAATCCACCGGAGTTATATGAATGCCCGACCATATTTACCCAAAACCAGTTGAGGCCCCCGTCCAAATCTGACAACCCATGGGGGACTCAAAGCTAGCATTTGGACACTGCAGAATGGGCCTCTTTTGTTTTCCCAAAAAGGGGGAATGTTGACCTAGGATTAATTTGCGAATACAAAGCAAATTGAAAACTGGAATTCATGAAAGGAGGTGGTCTTTCAAACAAAAAACATGTTCTTAAACAGGTCCTCGCAGTCGATTCATCCCGGAATCATCATGTCCAATTCAAAAGTAGTACTGCCCAATTCAAAAGTAGTATCGCCCAATACTGAAGTAGACCTGCTCACTTATTTTAGCGCCAGGATATGCTTGCCTGTTTTTTGAAAAAAAAACACCTTCTGGACCTTCTCGGGGGGGTGTATTCACCCGATGTCAAACACAAGGCACATCCACATTTCCCGATATTCCCCCCCCCCCCCCACCAGTTCTCCAAATTGGAAAAACACAATAACTGCTCCAGAAGCACGACTGCGCACAAGGTTCCCAATATTTCCCCCTTGAAACATCACCTCAATATGGCTTGTTTCAAAGGCAAACCAAACAAGCAACCTCGTTGGACACATGCTCATGTGGAGAAAAGGCGTCAGGTGTTCGATCCTTGTGAACCGAGGCACGGAAGTTCGGCTGGAGTGGAAAACAAGCTTTCGCCTACAACAGTGCCAAGCATTGCAAAGCTTCTTGGGAGCTTGAAACTCAAATGCAACTTCTCACTTAATCTGCCTTCCTGAGGTTCTCGGAACGAGGCAAAAGCCTAGAAAGTCTGAACTCCCAGGCTTCACGCATCTATCACCTTAGGAAGAAACTCTGACCCTGCGATCGACTCCCCCTGCGGCGAGGAACCCCATCTCAAGAGGGACAAACTCCAGAGCTTCATACTTGGTTGCTGCCGACTCCTCTGCCAAAACGTTAAAGTCATAAAGCATAGTCCCTCCTTGAAACCTGGTCTGCTTCTTTCGAAGCGAACCAAGGATGGGTCTGATCCCCAAAGAACCTGAACCGATGATGGCAGTGCCGCTCACCATTCGAGGAAATCAAAACCAACCCCCACTATGCCGTGACACGAATCATCAAGGAAACCCCATTGGGCAAAAGGAAAAAGGCCGAAGTCGGGCAATGTTCGTCAAACCCATGTGGGGGGGAAAGGATTCTGAGTGACTGGGCGCCTGACTCGTCTTTGCGAAGAAACTTCTCACTGAGCGAATGCAGAGCGAGCCCCGGTCTTCCCAGCTCCCCGACAACTGTTGGTGTGGTGGTTTGGAGGTGGCGGGGCGATGGCGGCTGGTGGTTATGACATGCGATCCATCAAGGATCCTCCGACTGACCTCCTAGGTTGGGGTTGGCAACTGTCTTTTCCCACTGCATATGATCTGATGCGAGATGGGAAGCCTAACAGCGATTCTTCTGAGCTGAGCCGTTCACGCAACAAAGCGACCGAGGATTCTACCACGGACGCCTTGAGCAAGGCATGCCATATCCGGCATACCATTCAAAAGTCAGCAGATCGCGGAACGTGCTTACCATTGCACAGCAAAAGTCCGCAAAGCAACACAATAATTCAAGTCTCTTCTTCGTGTCATTATGTTCTCTTAAAGTCTCATATACGCTTTGCTGCAAACTCCTTTCAACAAGTACTAGAACCATCTTCTAAAGTGGTAGTGGAGGTTTAGGGTGCTGATCAAAAGGCCAAGGCTCAATCCAATCGCAAAGGCTCGACGCAGTCTTGCCAATGCAGTCTTGCATCAGGAACTCGCCAGTGGGCGTTGTGTGGTGCAACAAAAGGCAACGAGCGGGTTGATCCTTCTGGCAAAGCTCGTGCTTAGCTCCGGGACCAACTCATCCTTGGGCTGATGCTGACTTCTTGACATGCACAAAAATCACCCAGCAATCCCCAGAGGCGAGATGCCAAAAGGCTCAGAATCCTGGTTTGCACCACCTGCCAAAGGCACCCCAACAAAGGGAGAAAGAAGCACAACAAGCATCTTCTCCTTTGTCTCGTTCAGCTATGCTACCGGGGACCTAATAGCACACTTTCTGGGCTGTTCCTGAAACTCTTTTCGTGTAACAGACCTACCACGTCAAGCACTGTCAGCATATCGGTGACAGTGCTCACCTTTGCGCCGAAGATGTCCGCCAAGCAACACAACGAAGCAAATCTGTTCTTTGTGTCACTATCTTCCTCTTGATGCAGGTTGGACAGGTTTCATGCCCACATGGCCGGCCCTTGAAAAATGTCAAGGCGGCATCCAGTCACAAAGGTGGCCGCGGTCTTGCTGATGCAGTCTTGTATAGGGAACTCGCCTTGTGGCGTTGTGTGACGCAACCAAAGGCAAAGAGCGGGTTGATCCCTCTGGCAAAACTCGGTCCCCCAAAATTGACAGATCCCCAGATCCGCCCGCAATTCATGCTTGGCTCAGGAGACAACTCATCCTTGGGCTGATGCTGACTTCTACACATGCCCCAAAATCCCGAAAAATAATCCCCGGAGGCGAGATGGCAGAAGGATCAGCCGCAACAAGTATCTTCTCAGATTCCTCATTCAGCTATTTGACCCACAATCCTACCTGGGACCTAATAGAGCCTTTGTTAGGCTGTTCCTGAGGCTCCTTTGGTGTACAAAGCCTGCCACATCAAGCACTGTCAGCATATCGGTGACCATGCGAACCACGCTTGCCTTTGCCGCCGAAGATGTCCGCCAAGCAACACAACGAAGCAAATCTGTTCTTTGTGTCACTATCTTCTTGTTGATGCAGGTTGGACAGGTTTCATGCCCACATGGGGCCCTTGCAAAATGTCAAGGCGGCATCCAGTCACAAAGGTGGCCGCGGTCTTGCTGATGCAGTCTTGTATCGGGAACTCGCCTTGTGGCGTTGTGTGGCGCAACAAAAGGCAAAGAGCGGGTTGATCCCTCGGGCAAAACTCGGTCCCCAAAAATTGACAGATCCCCAGATCCGCCCGCAATTCATGCTTGGCTCAGGAGACAACTCATCCTTGGGCTGATGCTAACTTCACGGGAAACCCCAGAGGCGAGAAGGCTCAGAATCCCGGTCCTCTTGCCCACGTGCACAGCCCATCGCATGGTCTTTCAGGCTCTGGAGCTTGCGTCTGTGTTTGCTCGTTTCCGCCAAGACCTCCGAGATGATTTACAAAGGAAAGGAAGAAAGAAGGGTGCCCTTTTGAGAGTACCCCTGTGGTGAAGTAAAATCACAAGGAAACCCAAAGTCATTGCATGGGTCCCCAGAAAGACCAAAGAAGCCTCTTCTCCGTTCCCAAAACAAAACGACCCAAAGCGCTACTGGGGACCCTGAGAGACAGAGAGAGAGAGAGAGAGAGCGAGAGAGAGAGAGAGAAAGAGAGAGAGCGAGAGAGAGCGCCTGCATCGCATGTCCCTGAGAGAAAGTGTCCTGCTGATGAGGTGTCCTCAAATAAAGTTGTTTTTCCTGAGGTGGTGAGAGCAGGCAGCAATAAGCGAGGCAGTCGAAATCAACAACTGTCCCCGTTGTGAGGACATCCGCGCAACACAAGGATTCAAGTCTGTTCATAGTGTCATTGTGGTCAAGCGCAGTCAACAAAAAACACAGGTTCGCAAAATTGGGCAAGGGAAAAAGTGTGAGTCCCATTTGCAACTCGTCCCCCGGGTCTCCCACGAGTTGTCTGTGAACCACTCTACCCTTGACGGAGCTTCCCACAGCTGCAGGTTGAACATTTCTGCAAGCTTTAGATTAGAATATGTCCAAAGCCTGAAATAAAGGATCCCCAAGTAACGGACCTTCACAACGACCTCTTTTTACCCCCAGGTGAACTTACTATAAAAGGGGCAGAAACAATTCTATACATGCCGAAAGGGCGCTGTGAAAAGGCGGAATCCTGTCACAAAGACGCAACGCTGGTCGCAAGGCCGATGTCTTTGTTGAGGGTGTGGGTGGCACCAAAAGGGAACTGGCCTCCTCAACAAGACAACGTACAAAAGCTCAAATTGCCTTGCATTGAAGTCAGGGCGGCCAGGCTGGCAGAATTTTGCTGCCTGCTCAGCTCCCACGCAAGGCGAGTGATCTGGGGAATGTCTTGCCGTGCTTCAAATGTCCGAGCAGCACAATGCCACCAATGTTAGTTCACTCTCGTGCTCCCATGGAGAGCTGCAGACTCTGAGGCGTTGCTGGCCCGACGCACAAAGGCAAGTCTACTCAGACCTCTAGTGGACTCGGGCTAACATCCGAAAAGAAATTCAAACAACCAGGAAAAAAGGGGGCACCGCTGGAGGTCTCAACTCACTTCCTGAGATTGGTTGGCCACAAGAAAATCGAACGAACTTTCGCGCATTGGGGCAAAAAGATTGGGAAAAGTAAGTTGTCAAACAAGATCAACACCGGTGGCCGCGGAAAAATGCCGTCAGATCGCTGACCGCTCTCTTCCTCACATGTAGCAACTGGAAGACGGAAGTGAAGCCTCAAAGGTCAATTAGGATTCGGGGGGGCGGATGCGGCACCGGCCGAGCTGGCTCCGTCGTGAGGAAGCCTCGGTCTGGAGTCAGTGAATCCAGACTCAGAGCCGTGGGGTTTTTAGGCTCTGCACCCTTTTCAAGGTTTGAGGATGCAGGTTCCCACTTGCCGGCGAAATAAGACGTGCTTCAAGTAAGTCAACCATCTCCAGCATATGTTGATGATGTACGTCGAGACGAGAGGTCGATTCCCCGATGCAAAAATGGTTTAAAGGCAAATCAAACGCCACCGAACATTTTATGGGGCCCCCGTGATTCAACACATACCCATTTCCCTGAAGAGAACTAACCCTGACGCTCTTCCGGAGTCATCCGAAGTTCACATTAGCAAATTAGAAGATGGCCGGGGACAACGACCTTTCTTCAAGCCCGGGCAAAGCTCCAGTGCCCTAGTGCCTGGTGTGCCCAACCGTTTTGCCAGAGAGCAATGTCTGGTTTCCGACTATGCACTGGGAAACAGAATGATAGCCCAAAACAACCACACCACATGGCTGAAAGAGGGTTGGAGCCAAATCTTTCAGCCTGCCTTGGTCAGACCTCTTTTTGTTTCGGGGGCAAGTGCTGGGACTCTTTGGAAACCTGGAGAGGTCCATAAGCCGCGCGACCCTGGGAACCCGTCCGATGGAGCCAAGAAAACGGCGCAGTGTACATACCATGGGTGTATGTCCCCTTCAAACCCTTGGGGGGGCGAAAGTTGGGGGTGGAAACCATCCTTCATTGAGAGAAAACGGCGTGCTTGTTGTTGACCCCAACTCATCTTCCCAAACAGTTCCAGGTGTGGAAGCTGCGGAACCGACAACAAAAGTCACGCCAACAACTGTCGAGTGACTCAATGCAACCTCCTTCCCGTTCTGGAAGATGAGCGGAAGGTGCTTGGCGCTTCGACTCGGCCATGTAGGCCGCCGGGTGCAGTCTGCTAGGTTGTTCAGCAGACCATGCTGCGTGGCCGGGCGAACACCTTTTACGAAAAATTGCGTCGCCGCCAGCAGGGTCTTGCTTTGAGCATAGCCTCATTTGTGCGAAGCTCCGGATTTCATTATGGATGCTTCCCCTTCGGGGTGCCGTGCACAGGTGACTCGCGTCCAGTTGACTCATACTGCCAAAGCCAGGCAATTACAGGGTCACGCAACTACATGAGCCTTCTTCCAAAAGAAAGGCGTCCCAATTTTGGAGCCGCGGTGCCAGGGGTCCAACCAAAGATCGCCCCGTTTTGACCAACCCAGCTCGACAAGAAAATCCCAGCCGAGCAGCACTGAGCGCAGGCCTCGGGGCTGGTAAAGTTCACCACCGCCAGGGTGGACCAGGGCATATGAACGAAGTCGTAGGGGCGTCCCATTTGTCCACCGAAGCATGCGTCGAAGTGTCGCAGGAATTCCGTGGTCGACAGCTTCCGGTTCAGCTTAAACATCAAGGTGGTGGCGAACGGCGGCAGCGTCCTAAAGTCCCCCGACATGTCGGAAGCTTATTTGCCCAGACCGAGAATGATGCAAAGGAGACCCAAGGTCGCACATTCGAAACCATGACATGGACAGAACCGAAAGGCAACAAGGTTAAGGTCGTCAGTGGGCAATTAAGCAGATCAATTACAGTGAGAAGAAACTGCTGCGGCGGACATGTTGGGCCCTGATGTTTTTTCGTGTACGTCCTGCGGCGGACATGTTGGGCCCTGATGTTTTTTCGTGTACGTCCAACAGGACAAGCAGGCGCAAAATACCATGGAACCCCAAAAATGGAGTCCCCAAATGATGGAGGTTCAAAAGTGGAATAAATCCAACACCTGTTGTCAAGAGTTTTCCTGTTCCCTCTTTCTTCAACAAGGGTCCCCCAGAGCCATAGACTTGAACCCAGATTGATCCCAATACATGTTGGAGCCACGGATATCTACCTTGGGGGAATCAACACCTGGGGTTCCTTCCCAAAAGCATGGAGTTGGAAGGCGGTCCTGTAGGTAACTAGGGGGGTTGCGGCCAGGTTCTGAGAGGTTCCCTCAGTTCCCGTAAACGGGGATTAACCCAACTAGCAATCATCAACCCTGGCATTACCAAGAATATGGTCAGAACTCGCATCGCATCATGGTTTCTGAAGTTGTTGAAAGACGAAAAGCGCCGCAAACGAACCCCAAGAACAATTCAACTGTGGGAACCAAGTGCGTTTGACGACGTTGGGCCCCTTCTCAAGGGGATGGCTGCTTTGTTTCGCCCAATCAACAAACCCAACTCTCGATCCCTGTTCAATGAGCCCCGAAAAGCTTAGGTCCAATGTGGAGGAAGCTGTGCTCGAGTCTTCTGCCGTTTCAGCAACACATCTCGCGCCGGAAGGTCAATCTGTGGTTCTCGGGGAGGTCTGTTTGAAGCGTTAAGGCACCTCCAAGAAGGCTACACCTGTAGGGGGGGTATGTGAAAAACAAACAGATCCGAGTTGACCCAGGATCGGAACCTCTAAGGAAACCTCTTCACAGGTGTTCAAAGGGTCAACATTGATCAGGTTAACAAGAGCGGAGAGACAACACAGCCTAAACCCTAAACTAGTAGTACAAGTCCGTCGCCACCTGAACCGACGGATCTATTTCCTGATTCAGAAAGGCTGTTTCTGTGCCGCCGCGTCTGCTTTCCTGCCTACATCGGCGGTCCTTTAGAATTGATAAGTGCTTCTGAAAATGATCGGGTTTCCTCCCTTGAAAATGATCCACAAAATCCAAGCCAGGCAAGCCAGGCAACCATGGTTTGTCAGGGTGGAAACACACTGCCTCTCGCTTAAGCGAAAGGGATCTCCGTGACTGAAAAAGCGCTTGCAAATCCACCTGTGCAGCTCCGACGGAAGAACCGCGACCCCGAGCCAGCCTTCCAGCGTGATGCCTGGGCATTGAGCCCTCCCAAGGCCCAAGTGGGCTCTGGGCTTTCGGGGCTCAGGTGACCAGGTCGTTGAGAGGCTGCAACAGGGGCTTCTAGCGCCAACCTAGATTTAGAGTTCCTTTGTCAGGGCCTTAGTGACCGAGGTCGCGAATCTCGCTTAGGAGGTTGCCATATTTCGCTCATGGAAACCATGTCCGTGGGACCTGAAAAGGGCGTGAATCCGGTCTCTTGCTCCGGCTTTGCGCCGCTGCCACTCGGAATTTGTCGGGCATGGTCGCTCTAAGCCTTTTGCCTAAGTACACTGCCAACCCTAAGCCCAAGGTCTTCGGGTCTTCGGATTCTAACCTTTCTCCAAAGGGAAATGGTTTCCAAAAGGGCTCCGTGCACTTTGCTTGTTGGCCAGGCATCAACTACAACAACACATTCCCAATGTGTGTCCTGGAAGCACATCCACAAAAATGGCAAACGGTACAAAACCCACTCAAACTGGACATCTGATGCTCTGATGCATTCGGTTGAGACACACTCCCATCTGAGAAAATGTTCGGGTGGCTTCCCACTTGAGGATAAAACTTTCAACTCCCGCGCCCAACCGCGAGCCCATCCCGAGGCCACGGGCGCAGTGTCCTTGGCGAGCTGCATGAGCTGACCCCGCAGGTCCTGGTCGCGGCCCCGCCCTCATGGGACCCAAACGCGGACCCGCGCAAAGTCAATCTCCTGGTAGGCTGCAATCGAAACCCCAAATGAGCCATGGTCAAAGTTCTCCGGTTGATGGTCTGCCAACCCCTTGCTTGCAATGCTCCCTTGAGCCTTTTGAGACACCGGGGTTCGTAGAATCTCCCGAAGATTCCCGCCCCAAACTGGTGTGGCTTCCCGTGGTACGGACAAGCTGCTGCCCACCCCGACCCCCCCAAAACCAGGGAAGTCCTACGAGGCACTTCTTCGTTGACGGGAGCAGTTTTTTTCAATGGCCAAGTTGGCCAATCCTTTGGAGAGCCCGGAACTTTGGTGCTTTCGAATTTCAAAAGCTGCCCGGCCTGCTGCTCCCGGTGCAGGTCATCGATGATTCGATACCTGAACTGTCGCAGTGAACGCCTCGTTGACAAGTGTGACTCTGGGCATTTGGGTGTGTTCCTTTCGCAGAAAGGGACGCTATACGGGCTTCCTTAAGGGTGCTCTGTTCTCGGTAGAAAGGGAAACCGAAAGGAAACCATCTTTTTAATGCTCACCCTCCTTGGCACAGACCAATTGGTGATGCAAACAGCCCCAGGTAGGGCGTGAGCCCTCCTTTGAGACAAGCTCGAAGCTCAGGAAATGGTCGGAGAGTTCCCTTTGCGCTCTCCAAAATTGTGCGAACACGGCCCCTCATGTCGACCACTGGTGGCCACTCATGCATCTCAGGGAAAGCCTGCAAAGCCTGCCCACCTTGGTTACTGCAAAGATAGAATGGGATTCGTTGGTCAGCGAAACAAGATCTCTTCGGTGAGGTCCAAAAAAGTCACGCGAACTCTGATTGAGCTCTTTCTGTGCACACCTCTGCTCGCAACAACCTCAGAACATCCTTCCCACGATGTACTGGAGGAAATAAGTCGAAGCAAGGGGAAATCAAACGAAGCATACCAGACAAGGACAATGAGAAGGACTGATCCTTACGCAAACAATTTCGCTACAGCGAATGGCCGGAAGAGGAGCATATCGCCCGAGTATTTGAGTTGACACCATTTGCGGGTGGCACACATGCGGATGCGCCAGGAAAGACGAAAGAAGCAGCAGGTATCAACAAATTACCCCTTTCTCCACTAACATATCCAGTGCGTTTCTTCTGCAGAAAAACTGTCTTCCGGGGCCTCCGTAGTGTTTCCATGTTTAGGTGGTAAATCAACCCCCCCCCCCCCCGGTTGAAAAATACTCATCATGGCTCGTTTGGCGCGACCCTAGTTTGATACCTGCTTCGCAACCCATTGGCTACTTGGCGCCCGCGCATGTACACTATCAAAACTCCCATCGAGAGGAGCACGACTCCCACCTGTGCTCAGGGTAGAGTGGGTGCACCCCACAAGATATGAATGGGCATGTGAGGGCTTATATAACAAAACCGTGCGTTTTGGGCAACTTTCAAAAGGCGGCCCTCAATGTCACTCATGACCTCCGAACTTCTGAATAAAGTCATTGCTTGCTTCTGGGTCGCACTTGCCTGCGTGATTCAGAACCCATACGGTCCATTGATCCTACACACATGTCGCCAATGCCAATGGCGATCTTTCTCGAAAGTGGACTCTTGTTTAGGTAGAGATTGGCTTGCAAAAGAGTCATCATTTAAGAAACCAGCTAAATGCTGCTTGAACGCTTGCCCCAGGCATGTGCAATTTGAAGCGATCAAGTCTGCCACAGCTTCAAGATGAAATGCGCAAATCTCAGCTTGTGATGCCAACATGGAATTCCCAAGAGTATGACTACGTGTCCACTTCCAAGCAGTGCAATCCAGTGTGGCGTCATCCAAAGTCATGTCGATCCCAAATTAATCAACCCCGGTTTGTCAATATGGGGGGTGTTCCCCTCCAAACCCCTATCAATAAACTGGGGTTGATTAACATGGGGTCAACATTACTGTCAAGACATTGAGAAATCCTGGCCGGCGACCACGATTCCTTTTGCCGAACCCTTTGTTTGGGACAAGCCTGGCATGCCTCCGAAGGAAACCCACAACTAATGGGAGGTTGTCTGTTGCTTGTACATGTCCCCAATAATGTTGACAGTGTATTAGTAATCCCCCCCCTATTAATCCGGTCCACCCGGACCCCCCCCAATACTAAACAATTCATATCTCAGAAAAACCCCCCTCAATAAAAAAGAATCCAAAACAACCCCCCCCCCCCAATTAGACTGGTCCCTCCCCCAGATGGCTGCTGCTATCTCATTTTCTCCACTGCTTGTTGAAGATTGTGGACTCATGCTGCTTGCCATGCTTTCTCTGGATGGTGTCCTCACAAGGTGCTTTGGCTCAAATGGGCTCGTGCTTTCTTCTGGTACCTTTCTCTTCCTGCTGCTGCCTTGCTTAGGGCTCTCATCTCCACCTCCTACTCTCATCTTGAAGCTTGGTGGATGCTTTTGGGCCTGCCCAAACCACAAAACAACAAGTGTTCTGAGATGGTCGATTTCTTATTAAATCCTTTGCTAAAAAAATCAAGTTTAGAAGGTTTCAAAGGGTACCCCACATTAGCCCCTTACACACCCAATTAATAAACCCCCCCGAATTAGTGCGGTCCATCGGCCCCAGCCTCCAAAAAAGACAACCAGGCCTTCTCAATACTAAATCAAATGGAAACTCAATTCCAGATCTCAAAAGGAAGCTCCAGCAATACTAAATCAAATGGAAACTCAATTCCAGATCTCAAAAGGAAGCTCCAGCAATACTAAATCAAATGGAAACTCAATTCCAGATCTCAAAAGGAAGCTCCAGCAATACTAAATCAAATGGAAACTCAATTCCAGATCTCAAAAGGAAGCTCCAGCAATACTAAATCAAATGGAAACTCAATTCCAGATCTCAAAAGGAAGCTCCAGCAATACTAAATCAAATGGAAACTCAGATCTCATTAAAATCAAATGGAAACTCAATTCAAGATCTCAAAAGGAAGCCCCAGCAATACTAAATCAAATGGAAACTCAATTCCAGATCTCAAAAGGAAGCCCCAGCAATACTAAAATCAAATGAAAACTCAATTCCAGATCTCAAAAGGAAGCCCCAGCAATACTAAATCAAATGGAAACTCAACTCCAGATCTCAAAAGGAAGCTCCAGCAATACTAAATCAAATGGAAACTCAATTCCAGATCTCAAAAGGAAGCTCCAGCAATACTAAATCAAATGGAAACTCAATTCCAGATCTCAAAAGGAAGCCCCAGCAATACTAAATCAAATGGAAACTCAATTCCAGATTATTTAGGGGTCAAGGCAAAAAACCTTCCAAAATATTGCCCCCCCAAAACCTTCCAACCTTCAAGGGGGGGGGGGGGGGTTACAGACTAATACGGGGTCAACATTAAGGCAGTCTAAGGACCATTCGGTGAAACCGGGCGATTGACAGAGAGGAAGAGATTGCAAAGCTGCTGCAACGTAAGAAAGCCCCGAATTCGTGCTGGAAACTACATTCCCCCGAAGCTTGGAGGAATTCTCGTCCCCCGATCTCAAGATGCTGCCAAGAAACAAGCGGCGGTTGCCCTTGGTGAGTTATTTTCATGCACAAAGTACATTTAAATGGTTTAATGATGAGAATATGGAGCCCAAAACTGCTTAGTTTACCTTTGGATTCCCTTTCAACCAACCAAAGCAAGGTTCAGCCGCCAAAACCCCTGTGCTTTTGCTTGGCAACCTGAACAGAAACAACCTCAAGGCGTCCCCAGCCCCTCTTGGGCTCCCGAGCCATCATCTGGTTCACAGGAGCCCTGCTTCGGGGCACCTGACTCCCGACCTTCCGCCTCAACCCTTCGACTGCAAAATGCCAGGGGACCCCCCAAAATTGGGGCGAGAGGTCGAGACATGTGGTTCTAAGATGTGTTTGGAGTCCACTTCCAAAAAAGCACTTGGGTTCTAAACACAGGGCGCCCCCAGAATGTGTTGTTCCTTTGGGTTTCCCTTCAAAGTGGCCTGCGGGGTGGTACCCTCAACAAAAAAACACTTGGACATACCCTGAAAACAGCGGCGACTCGCTCGAATCAACTCCTCGCGAAAAGTCAAGCCCGTCGGTATCCTGGTATTGATGGAAGCCCCAAAATGGATTTCAATTTGGTTTCCTCTTGAATCATCCTGACAAGCGCACCCCCCAAACAAGAAACACACACACACATGCAAAACAAATGGCAGTTCATGATTACAACCAAATAAGCCAGCGCTATCCACTTTCAACCTAGCGACCTACCACGGACACCTAGGGCCATCCCTGAGATCTTAAGCTTGGCTCTCAGAGAAGAGGGTTGCCTCTATCGCTGCCATCCGTTCTATGTCGCATTGCACATCTTGGAGCCTGAAGAAAATGTCTGGATATTTCAGAAATGGTCCGCAAGCTCCATTGATGGTGAAACTATGTAGAGGAAATCACAAGATTAACAAGAAAAATGAGACCAGGAGATTCCCCCCCACTTCATAGTTTTGTATTTACTCCTCCTCACCCTGCTTTTGCTTGCTTTTAGAGCAAGTCATGCACTTTACACCAGCCTTTTCGAGTGACTCGAGTGCCCTGCAAGTTCCTTTCCACTTGGTGAGTCCAAGAACTATGCGAGAGGCAGTCACCCTCATAGCTTCAATGGAACTGGGGGGAATGGTTCGAGCTGAAATAGGAAATGGAAGAAGGAAGCCTTGATCCTGTGGCTTCAAATTCATAGACCAAAGCCCTTTCGCCACAATTCGCGTAAATGGGGAGCCACCCCCTGACTCCCGAGGTGCTTAACACCCCAACACCCAAGGTCTAAGGTCTGCCTGTTGACACCCCTGGAGTTCTGGAAAGGAAGCACCTTTCATCTAGGGGTCAAGTTGGATGCCCTTGGGTGCTAGAAGGCTGTGATTTGTTATTGCGGAACCACCTCAGTGGTTGGTATACGGGAATCCCCACCTAAATGAGTTGAACTCAGGGGCATCCAAAGTGAGCTTTTAGGGGGTACTTTCATGGAGCTGCACCTTACGACCACCTATCAACGGACCTTTCTCCACGGGCGCCTTATTCATCGCACGTATGGACCTCGTTGGGTTTACCTCCTTGTGCTTAAGGCAAACCGACGTAGCCTTTTGCCAACTGAGCCATTGCTTCGACCAACACGGTTCAAGGGTCTGTCAGAGCCTGAATAATTAGAACGGGCTGGGTAGAATGGAGCCAGATTTCATCATGAACAAACATGTGCGTAATAATTTAGCCCTGCACTCCCCCTCTTTGATGGCGGTTCGGACCTCGCAGGTGATTGTTGCCCTATGCGGCCCCTTTCAGAAACAGTCCCATATGCGGGTGTGTGTGGTTTTTGAGGGCGCCCTTTTCTTGGTCAACCCATTTTGACACATACCCATGATATATGTCCAGGAAACACATACCCATGATTCATGATATATTCCAGACTTCCCCACATTTCCTTCTTGAACCACACCCCACCAAAAGAAGCTCACTCAAAATGGCCCCAAAGGTCATGCTCCAAAACCAGCGCCAACACATACACAAAAAAATCCAGGGAGCCCTGGCCCCGTATTTTTTCGGACCGCGCGACAGCCGTGGACCGCCACGAACCGCTGGACCGCTGGGCATGGCGCTGAGTGCGTCGGCCCATCCTTGGCACTGATGGCAGAGCGAGCCATTGCGTCCGGCGCCTCAAGCCTCGGTGGAGCGACCCGGCGGGCGGGCCGGGGGGGTGCCATGGACACGAGTCTATTTTGCAAAAAAAAACTAAAAAAACTATACCCTAAAGGAAGGAGGTTGCAAAATAGACCCCAAGTGTCCACCATGCGGGGGGGGTTCTTGTTGAGAGTACCCTTTTTACTTGGTTGCAAGCCACCATGTCTAGGATCCCAGATACCCACTACCCCGGACACCGGGTCAATGCGACCTTCAACCACTATATGTGCGTCCATGAGTCACATGTCGCGCTCTCAAAGTTCCATTGCAAGTTATCCGAGCCGCTTCTGTCTCAGAGTTTTCCAGCCCCCCAAAAGCCGCAGATTCAACAACCATCGCCATCGCCATTGATTTCTTGTGCGGTGCGTTTGAACAGCCGTGGAAGCACACTCCTTTTGCCCCTTCGACGGGGCTGAATCGGGTCTAGTTTCTCGCAGCTTCCCCACAGAAGTGGCCACGTTCGCTTCACCAAATGTTCCTCAGCAGTTGCCCCCCAACCAAAAAGAACAGGCTTGATTTGGTTATGTTCCATATTCGTGAGATCTCCAACACAATTTATTGCTTCTTGTGTGGAACATCCGGCAACATGGATGTTCACACTCAAGGCACCCCCTGGAATAAGTTAAACATGTGAGTATCCGGCGATCCCAGAAGAAACCGATATACCAAAAAACCGATGCCCATCATAGCAAAACCATGGTGTTGTAAGACCTGGGGCACTGGTAGCGCGTCACTTCGGCAAGCGAATCCCATCTCTTCAGGGTTCGGCGTCCCCGGGGACGCCGAACCCTGAAGAGATGGGATTCGCTTGCCGAAGTGACGCGCTACCAGTGCCCCAGGTCTGCCCCGTACCGGGGCTGCTACGTGCACAGGCGATTGGATGGGTCGCGCGGGTTTCCGGCAATCCCGGCTATTCACAAACGAGAGAATCATTCTCACCCGGGTTGTTTCAATAAATTGGGGAACAAATTTTGCTTCGCAGTTGGAGGAAACGACGAGCAATGCTTGAAGGAAACTGGCTCCCAGGGCGCCGGCCAAAGGTGGGCAAATCATCCGCTTTGAAAACCAATTGAAAAGCTGTGGGAATTTGTGGTGTCGTGTGCCAAAACTCTGCTGAAAACCAACCATCGCACTGGAGGGAAGCTGCACGCCTCACTTCTCTTGTCCGATGCGGATAAAAGGGGCCTTCTGCTGTGCAACGTGAGTGGCCATCTATGCCTCACATGATGCCTTCCATATCATGGCCTTGAGCCCAGATGGCTGGCGAAAAGCCTGAACTCGTCCCCATGGAAGTGGGACAAGGGTCCGTCACAAGTCTTCTCACCATCTTTTCTGATATGGCTGTGGGTCAAACATGGGTACCCCAAATGGAACCCTGGCAAATGAAAACATGGACCAATACCTGCAGTCCCCTGGTGGTTTAATTTTGACCCATACCCATATGCCAGAAGGGTGTGCGGGTTTCCCACTTCGCTTCCGTCCAAACAAACTGAGGTGAAGCCTGCCGTGCCAGGTGCACGGGTGAAACCAGGTCAGCCTTCCTGATGTCTGATTCCAAGAGTTTGTCCATTGCACCGTGGCTTACACACACACAGGGGACTGCCCCATTCTGGGCTATTTCGAGATACAAAAACACCTAGATACTACTTCGGCTGACTTTCCAGCTGGTGTATGCAACCAACTCCCCCCTCCCACGAATTCCTTTTCACTAACTCTCCGCTCGACGGCGCCAAGACTGAGCTTCATAACATGCCGAGCAGCGGCCAAAGCTCAAGCTCCGAGCTAGACCAGGTCCCTGAACCCCTCTGTGTCTTGAGGCCTCCGAGGCTTAAACGCGTCGGAAAAAAACCGCGGTTCGAAACGTCGCCCAAAGCTCCGGCTGCTTGAAGCTGCGCTTGCTGGTGAAACCTACGACCTTTTGAGCCCCACCACCCAAAAAAGGGCCCAACAAAGGCTTTGTTTGCTACCAATGCGCATGTCTCTTTGTGAAGCAAAGAGGGGTTGGCCGATTTTCTTGAACGGCCCAAAGCAAACAGGAACGCAACTGGGAACAATTGTTCCAAGGGCTCAAAGCCAAGTTGGAACTCTGTCGCGAGTATTTCCCCTTGGGCAGTCTAGGCTCAGAGTCAATGGCTGACTTGCTGGAAGTCACGCTGGTCTTTGTCCGAGCCTAGCCTAGCCCATGCCACCTTTGCCGAACGACTTCCCGCCCATCATTGGCCTCGGCAAATCGGCTCAGTACCAACCCCCCAGGCGTCCCTTGTTTCCAGCCGAGTGCCAGTCAATACTATTCTAAAGGCACCGTCCTATTTCGGCTTTTGGAACCTTGCAAGACCCTGCGAATAAAAACCCGCGTGCCCCATGAACGTCTTGATGACACATGCTGCATACAAATTGCGTTCGAAGTCTCAGGGTACGCCTTCCAAAAAAAGAAAGCTGGCTGGAAACAAAAAGTGGTTCTGCAAGTTTGGCAAGCTCAGAAAGGGTACACCCGTCAAGGCCAGGCCAGCGACGCTCAAATACCAAGCTCCTGATTCATCTTGACTCTCTCCAGCCCTGACTTTCCTGTTGTGCTCCTATTGGCCAGACACAGAGAGGGCGCAGAGGGACCGACGGCCAGGACCGGTAAGGGGACCCTCCCAAATCCCCTTTGTCTGGACCTTGTCGACCTTGAGGGCGGGGGTGTGCACTATTCAGATGATAACATAAGAGAAGAAACCGCCAAATGCAAAGTCACTGAAAAGAAGGAAAACAGTCCCTGTCTTCGTGGTCAGTCTCTGATGAAGCATCCTGACTTTCCCTGAAAGCATGGGGTCTGAACAGCTCAGAATGTAAGATTCTTATTGGTGTCAAAATTGCCGAAGGGTCATATATCCTCCCAAAGAGCAATATTTAGCCCCCCCTTCCACGCAGTCGAGATCTAAGCAAGCCGGGGTGATGCCAAGCTGCGGAACAGTGACGAGCCGGCAACACCAACTTCGGTGTTACTAATGCCATCACGCGCTAAAGCCAGAAACCTCACTTGAGCGAACACGCTTTGACCCCGACTCGTTGTGAAGTGGACTTAGTCTGGGATTCGTTCAGAACACAACTCACCCTGGATACTTCCAAAATCAAGGAGGAGTTTCTAGAGCAAAGCGACAAACACAAGGAATTGGGCATTGCAGTGCGCTGCACATCCCACTGTATCTGGGTCTGACTTTGGTCGAGCTCATCCCTTCCAAGCCTTCTGGAAACGTTACCATTGTCAGCGCTGATAGCCATTGCGGGCTGCATCAAAATGGGATAGCCACGGGGATAGTGGAAAACCAGTGGTAGCAACGCGCTTTGGGGACATACCATTGATCTCAAAAACCACCTGCTTGCTCAAGGAGAGCCACCTTTGATAAACCACTCGCTACACCCTTTTTGACAAATGTGATACGCCCTTGGACCAGTCGGAGAGCCAACTGTGGCCAACCTCCGAGCCAGCGGCCCCAGCTTGCCGCCCATCATCGGCTTGCCTGGAGCACAAGAGATGGCTCCACCAACTCCAGAGGCAAAGGCTGCTCAACCATCCTCGGAACTCGGAATCAACTCACCACTCAACTACCTAAACGCTGAAATGCCATGTCGAACGCAGAAATGCCATGTCTTCTTCTTGTATGCTGATCTATGCGTGTTAACATCGACTTGTTGTGCCTATTTCCCCTTGTGGAAAGCAGAAGGTTCCTGGCAAGAGCAAACCTCTTGAGTCATGGGGCCTTTGATCCCAGCCCGCACACAGGTTCTGGCCTATATCCTTTTGGTTGTCCTGCACATTCGTTACCTACTGCTACCTACCAATCAGCTAGCGTTCTCAGGCTGAGCCACTCCAAACAAAGGCCTCGCCTGGCCCCCTGGCTCTTGCGGTCTCGAAATCCAGAGCCCAGGTCTCCACGACTGCGAGTAAACCGATAGCAAATCACACTCAGAGTGCCCTGCTCCGTTTTTTGCGTCAGTTTAATGTATCTGGTCAGAACCCCCACCCCCAAACCCCACCCCTCCCTGGCACGCATATCCCCCTTCCCGTGCCTCCACATGGGCCTTTTCCGCAGCCCTGGGATGCGCCGGCTCGGCAGAAAAACATTACCACTTGAAGAGACAAAACTCTAAACCAGGGCGGCAGGGCGGCAAAATTGTTTCCGTCATCATCACTTCAGCAACGGGCAATGATGGCACAGCCCGAGGCACCCAACATTTTCGGGAGCCATTGATTTTTTTTTTCTCAACAGGCCAGCTTTTGAAGGGCAACCCGGTGAAGACCTAGCATCACATTAACCACCTCATTCATACCCTTTTGGACGATGTGGACAACTTGCCGCCCTTAAGCTTCGACGCTGATGCTACGTCCGAAATCTGGATTGAACTTCTAGGTAATTTGTTTTTCAAGCAACAGTGACTCTCGACACACTTAGCACTCTGACCACACAAAGTACATTTCAAGCACACGCCTTTCGCTGCGGACATTGGCTCCGCCAGCCAGCACGGTGAATTCCAAGGTGAATGTCTTGCCAAGCACAAGGACCCGCTGTAACTTGTTGGGTTGCTGTTTGCCTTCAAACACCACACCGAAAGTCAACAAACAGGTTCCCACGTTCGACACTCCCATATCAACTGCAAGTGCCACTTCCTATATCACTTGACAAAATCAGGTAAAAGCTTAATCTTGCAATCGCTTCCTCTGGTACGCTGCATGGCTAACCGCCGGTTCACTGACCAACGCTGTTTTTTGACTCATGGTGTGTCTGGGGCGCCAAAGTGATGCAGATGCTCGGTCCACAGAGAGGTTTCAAGGGAACATGACCAACTGACCCAGCTTCCAGTTTTCCAGTATAGCAGGTGAGCACATCACATCTTGTCAAAATAACGAGGCAAAAGTGCCGGATGGCGTGGTATACTGGCTGGTGCTTGAACGCCGCGATTTGCAGATGTCCGTGTGGGTGACTGATAACTGCAACTGGCTCGAACAAATCGGCCGGGGCCGCCGCGCCCTTCATGAGGCCGCCCTTGCCTCAGATGGAAGGGGAGGTGAGCAGGACTTGCCACGTCCCTCCCAATTCTAGGGTGAGCCTCTGATGCTTTTCTAGAACCCCAACTGGCGAACGGCACACCTGCAAGCACAGTGGATTAACCCCATGCCAGCACTCGCTTTGCTTTCAAAAGCCACCAAACGAAGCACTTCAATCTGAACAGGTTTGCATGATTCAAAGCTGCAAACAAGGGTTCCACCGGGCTCGCCCTACTAAAATTGGCCTTGTGTGAGGTCACGGGACACCCAGCTGAATCCTGTCCCATCCTTGCATGCGGCCGCATGTCATACTTACGACGTGCTATGTAAATTTAACTTGCGTCTTCAGTTGAGCCGGAAATTCAACTCATTGACTTTCGGTTCTACCTGGCTAGGGCCTGCTTCTGTGCGCCAACCAAACTCACCTGCCAAATCCATCAGGGTCGGAAACTGACTGAGGCAGCTGCCGCCATCGAGACCCAAGCAGCCTGCAGCAGGCTGGGGTTGCCGTACCCAAGGCTCCATTTGGCTGTGGGTCAAAAATCGGGCAACCCCAAAATGGGTTGCTCTGGTAAATGGACCCACGGACTAAAACCTATTTCTCCAGACAAAAAGTTGAGGTCGCGATTCTTTCTTTTGAGTCAGGACGAAAAAAAGGGGCAGAAGGCAGGTGGGAGTGCCCTGATAAGAGAGAACAGCGGTGGCAACCAAATTTTAGTGAACCACTCAGGTCATCCGAACCAATAGGGGGTGAGAAGAAACACTAAAAAGGGGGATGCAAAGGGCAATGGGAGATTCAGTTCCCAATGCTGTCCTCTTGTTCCTTCTTCTCCTCAACACCTGGGG